GTCTATCAGGACCTGCAGCTCGTCCTCGTTTCAGATTTCCTAACGCTTTTTCAACTTCATTAAGACTAGGGGGACTTACGTCGATTTGCCATTCAGGATGACTGGAGATCGTGGGTAACTGAAGAGTGGCTCGAGGCCAGTTGAACTGATCCCTAAAGTGTTCTGCCCATCAATCCAGTCTCCTGGATTGAGAATAAACAATAGTCCCGTCATTTTCTGAGATAGTCTCACTTACACTAGGATTCCTAATACCAGTTTCCTTGATAAGTTGGAAAAGTTGTCTACTGTTGCCGATCGCCGCTGCCTTTTCCATCGCTTTTGCTTTCGCCACCCACCACTGTTCGCGGTCGTTACGTAGGTTTTTTATAAGTCTGCGCCTAAGTTGACTTCGTTCTTCATCATGTTCAGAGCCAGGTGGGATGAGTTTTCGGGCATCCATCAGATCGGTGGATGCTACTGAGATCCACGGTTTCATTCTAGCCTTATGGTCAACCTTACTAGCAGATATCACTGCTGTTTCCACAGCCTTCTTGATATCATTCCATCCTGCTTCCGGGTGGGAATCGCTTAAATGGTCGCCTAACTGTCTTTCTAGTTTATCCTGAAATATATTTTTCGCCTTATTATCATTAAGTAAAACCCTAAGAGGCTTTCTTACGGTGTCTTTCCTACGCCCATTAAGCTTCAAACAAATACGCGCTCGCACTAGGGCATGATCTGAATCTAGACATGTGCTCCAGAACGAGCGACAGTCCTCTATCGAACCCCTCCATCGGTGGCTGATGGCGATGTGATCTAGTTGCGTCCAACGTTGAGACGACTTTGGAGGTCGCCAGGTCAACAGATGCTTTTCCTTATGCCTAAAGTTGGTGTTTACTAAGAATAGGCGGTTGTCTAAGCATGCTTGCAACAGACGGTCACCATTGTCTGTTCTCTCAGCCGCGACACCACAACATCCACCTAGGTGTCTCTCCTGCTCACTTAGTCTACCTACTTGAGCATTAAAGTCACCAGCCATTATTACTATATCAGAGCGCCTAGCTTTTTGGAGGAGGTCCGAAAGCTTTCTGTAAAACTCATCCTTAACCTCGTCTGAACTGCATTCAGTGGGGGCATAGGCAGATACGATGAAGAGGCAACGGCGATTGTCCCTATCTTTCCGAGTCCTTACTGTCCCGTTTAGTCGGACAGCGCACAATCGACTATCTACTGGGATCCAGTCAAGGAGAGATTGTTCTGCCTTACGACTCAATGCTATGCCTACGCCAGCAAGACCGCGAGAAGGAGCATCAGGGCTTCCAGATACGCGAACAGTAAATCGAGCTGCTTCTTTATCTTGACATGGTGTGGTCAAACGAGTGATGCTACTCGGATCCTGTATGCGCGTTTCCGAGACGCAGCACACATCGATGGAACGAGATTCTAAAGTCCTAGCTAAGGAAGCCTGTTGCCCTATTTGACACAATGTCCGTACATTAAATGCTCCAACATGTAGTTTGGAAGGGGGTTTCAAGAGACCAGGAACGACGTTTCGCGAACTCGTATCGTCTGCATTAGCTGTGCACTGTGATGAATGAATGTGAGAAGAGTTAGTCGTGGAGATAAGAGAGGTACTAGGGGGTGTAGGAAGGATTTGATTTTGACCAATTTGGTCTCGCGTGCTGTTATGGGTATGAGGGCGGTTGTCACTTCCCGGCTGCCCACACCATGGAAGGTTGTTTCTTGAGGAACCTGAAAAGGAAGATGGATTAGTGTTGGTGCGTGACCGCAGAGCCCAAGGGACAACTGCTTGAGGCCGGTCACTCACGGCCTTTCTATGAAATGTTTTTTGAGGATTAGCTCCGTTCTTAAAGGCCCTTAGTGGGCCCCCTAGTCCAAGGAGACGGAAATCCGTGAGTTAGGGGAGGTGTGACATTTTTAGGGCCGACCTTTTCTAACCCTTCCTTCCTTGTGAGAAGGCAGCATCGCTGCAGATGCTGGTTGTCCGAGGGAAACACCTTACTGCTGTCACACCCCTCTGCAGTCAGCAGTACGACTTCGCCCTCAGACCTTGGGTAGCTGCTTTTAGTCTCATCGTTCTCCAATCGACCTGTCTGGCATGGTAGAACCTTGAGGAACATATGTTCCAGCCAGTATAGCTCGGTTGTGTCATCACGATAGGCGAGCCCGACCACCACGTCAAGGTAGCAGCTACGGTCGGGGTCTACGCAAAATACTTCGTATTCGTTGGCCAGACACTATCAGCAACAACGAACTGTGGGAGAGAACAAACCAGATTCCAGTGGAGGAGGAAATCAGGCAGAAGCGGTGGGAGTGGACAGGACACATACTACGAAAAGCACGTAACTGCGTCTCGAGACAAGTCCTCACATGGAACCCTCAAGGCAAAAGGAAAAGAGGAAGGCCAAAGAATACATTATGCCGAGGAATAGAGAAAGATATGAGAGGAATGAACAAACATTGGACAGAACTGGAGAGGGAAGCCCAGGACAGAGTTGGTTGGAGAAAACTGGTGTGCGGCCTATGCTCCATTGGGGGTAACAGGCGTAAGTAAGTAAGTAAGTTCAGGTACCAGTACAAGCCAATCCTGAAGCAACATTTCGCATTTCGACGGAGAGAATCGCATTCCAAACATGTCAGGAGACTGTACATTTTGTCAGCGTTTTCACAAAATAAAACTATGTCATCGGCATATTCTAAGTCAATAAGCGAGCCACCTGGTAGAAGGTCCACTCTTGAAGAGTCAGACGAGGAAATTGTTATATCTAGAAGCATGTCTATGACAGAGTGGACATCCGTGACGGACACCACTTGAAGTAAATATCTCCGATGACAATTAGCCATAAGCTCTCACTCGACCAGTGTTGTTCGAGTAGAGAGCCTATATAAGGTTGATGTACTTCTCTCGTACACCTTTAAATGACAGAGACTGCCACAGAGCCTCACAATCCAGAGTCAAATGCCGCCTTACGGTCGAGGAAGACAACTATTGTCAGACACCTAGATGTGTGTGTTGTAGAACCTGTCGTAGTGTAAAATTGTCGCCTATACAGCCAATTCCAGGTCTAAAACCAGCATGGTTTTCTCTAGTCTGCAATTTACGAGCTCTAGTTAGGCGTCTAAGGATAATCGAGGCTAGCAATTTAGAAACTATATTAGTTAGACTGATTCCCCGGATTCCTAATACCAGTTTACTTGATAAGTCGGAACAACTGTCTACTGTTGCCTATCGCCGTTACCTTCTCCATCTCCCTTTCTTTCGCTACCCGCCACTGTTAACAATCGTTGCGTAGGCTTTTTATAAGTCTGCGCTTAAGCTGACTACTCTTCTCATCGCACTCCGGGCTAGGCGGGATGAGCTTTCGAGCATACATCAGTTCCGTAGATGCTACTACAATCCATGGCTTTTCCCTAACATTATGGTTTACCTTACTAGCAGATACCACTGCTGTTTCCACAGCTTTTTTCATATCAATCCAAGCTGCCTCAGGGTAGGCATCACTTACTACATGGCTGCCCTTATTGTTTTTCCAGTTTTTCCTGAAATACATTCTTAGCTTTATTGGCCAATAATGTTCGAATAGAGAGCATGCATCTATGGTTTATAAAAGAATATGAATTTATCTAAGACTTAGTCAATCAGGCATCAATAGGAAACGAAAAACCCGATACGTGTATATCAGTTTGAGTTGTAACATACCATAAGTATAGCTAATTATTGGGTCGAATTTCAGGGTAGAACAGGTAATGATAGTATTACAGGTAATGGAAAAGATTAGACATCGAAGATGCGTTTAAATAAAAATGTAGTTCCTGACATCAGGACTGTCTTCGATTCCTTGAACACAACTGTGCTCTGGGATCGTCTATCAAAGAAGGGTGTCTGAGCAGTTTATAGGCATCTTGAAGGTCCCATACAAAAATACCTAAGTCAGAATGATGGTATAAAACAACTTTCTTTTCATTCATTCAAACAGTGGGCTTAGGTAGGGTCGTATACTTTCATCATTCCACTTCAAAGTTTCCATCGTTGTTATAGAAACAGCTCCGATGGATTCGGGTAATGATGGTGTGGGTCAATTAACTAGGGGAAGACTTCTTTACACTTAGTATGAGGATAGCATTGTCTTACTTAGTTATGTTGCTCAAACCATGCAAACGGCATTAAATCGGTTGACAATCAGTGTCCAAATGTATCGCATATGTTATGCACCTTCCAAGTGCAAAGTACTTTTACAAGACTGGTAGGAGCCTGTCTCCATTCACTCTTGATAGAAAGAGGTTAGAAAAAGTCTAGGAGTTTGTTTTTGAGTAGCCGTGAAAATAATGGTGGTGAGGTAAGTGATGAAATCAGTTTCAGTATAATTAAAACCAGGATGGCTTATGTCAGTCTTGGACATTGTTGGTGCCTTCATGGTATTAGTCTAGCTGTAAAAAGCTAGGATCTACAACGCGCCCATGAGCGGTTTGCTATATGGTTGTGAAATCCGAACTTTCCAAGTTGAGGATGTGAAGCAACTATCTGTCTTTGATCAGCGTTATCTCCGACAGATTTCTGAAATTGAGTGGAAATACTACGTATGTAATGTAGAGGTTCAATAACGTGCACCCAGGCACAGCAACGATAACTCGATTCGTGTCATCCTTTTGGAATACCAACTTCGGTGGCTTGAATATGCAGTAGGATTGTCTTCTCGGAGAATTCGATATCGTGCATTATTCGTCAACACGGATTGGTTGGAAGAAGCGGGCAGTGGTCAGTGTATGACATGATGTCACGGTTTGAAAGAGAGCAGAACTGAGCATCAGTTGATCATTCACGACTCTCTGGTTAGGGTACAACAGATAGTGCAACTCAGTGGCTTTAGACGTTATCAGACATAGCTCAGAATAAAAGCCAGTGGCAGTCATGCAGTAAATTTCCATTATTTTCTGCACATAAGTAAAAATAACTTCTCTGAGATGTTAATCACTCCATTTAACATTTAACGAGGATTTACCGCTTTAGAAAAAGTAATAGTCGGTATGGATGGCATTTTTTGATATATTGTAGATGAAATTTCTAAATCTGTCGCAGCTCTCCAAATTTCCCGCAATACTCATAAAATCTTTTACTGGAGTCAGGACATTGTAGCGAAAATTGAACTGGACACATATCACAGTTTTTATTTATGTTAACGAACCATAGCTTTATCGGTGTTCTTTATCCCGAAACGCTCCATAACAGAGCACTTCGATTAAAATCCGGTCCAAGGTCGTTCGTGTACTTCCATCAAAATGAACATTCCATATGTGGAAAGCAACATGACCAGACTGGAAGAAATTCAACATATTAACTTAGGTGTATCGAAAACAGTGAACAGATTATAGAAACACAAAAGTCAAATAAACATGACCTACAACCACAGAATTTACCGGTAATGTCAGTAACGTTACGTTACGTTTGAATAGTTGGCACGTTTTTATGTCCAATGCATCGAATATTATTTACCTGGGTTAGTATAAGCTTATTCATTGTTTGCACTTGCTGATTTCTTTTTCTGCAAGTTCCCAGGTATTAAACTATGTAAAGCCAGTGGCAGTGAATCATGTGAATCATCTTAACATATCCAAGTTTGAGGTGCAGTAATAAAATACAAATATTCTAGACCGGTGAAATAGAGTAGTTGCTTTCAGAACATCTAAAGATGGAAAAAGAAAAAAATGGCTTTTTGGAATGATGCTTCGAGATACATGAATGATAAAAAAGAGCCGTAGTCTTATTCCATTACACAATTTCATACATCAAACAGAAATCACAAGATTGCTGATAGACTTTGTGACTCAATTTCCTAGTAAAAGGATCGGGAACCTTAGGCATAACCAATATTTTCGGCCATAAAGGATGAGCTTGTAGTGGAATGCTTCCTCTCAGAATCAAGCGCTTCTACGATTATTATTATTTTGAATGAATATTATGAAGTGCTGCAATTGAGTTAAATAATTCCACGAAACTTTCTATAGTATCATAGTAAATAACATCGCTGTTATTTTTGCTGACAGTTTTGCTGAACATTTATCCGAGTACTATAAGTTTGAGTGTTAGGTGCTAAAATACAGACTTGTGTGAGGTTAGTATGAAATTCAGGATATAGTTCAGATATTCGTCAAACTCGTGTTGCACATTTACAAACCTAAATCACAACTAGCATGATGTACGTCTAGAAAAGAAGTTGAATCACATGTCAGCGTGTACGATGATAGCAAATGTCAATCGGAAGGTAAATATTAGTGAAATTTTAGTCGCCAAATGTGAATTATGTTCAGGAGGTTCAAATAACTTCTCAATTTGTGAAAGACTGTTAAAGATTGCAGGCAGTATTCTGACTAGGCAACTAGTTAAGATCTTGTGGCAGATTATGTGATATAATTCTTGTACTTCGTACACTGCTCGTACTGATAACCATCACTAGATAATGCTCGACTATGAGTGAAATTCAGAAAATATTACGAAGCGTTGAAGACGTTTGATAATGCACAACACCGATCACAAAATTACAGTCATATGAAGAGAAAGACGAATAATTCGCGAATGCAGAGCAAAATATATATATATATATATATATATATATATATATATATATATATGAAAATGGATGATTCACCGAGTTATTTAAGAGACTAACATTATGTGCATAGGATTTAAATAATGGTCAAACATATATGTTCATACAAACGCTATAAGAGTGATAATTCAAAGGAAAAAAAAATTGTTTATGTTCGAATAACAATGTCTGTTAAATAAGTAGATTAAAGAGCGAAACCAAATTAGAGGCAATCAAACTCAAGTATATGTGAGCTATAACTCAGATTCAGATAGTTTATAGTATGTTACCTCACGAGGCCTAAATATATATTATTTAAAGCGCAATTTAAAGATAGTGAAAAACATTTGTAAGTACATAAGAAATGCCATCAGGGATGTGGTTGAGAACTACCTAATACGATTATAAGACTCACCTAGGTTACTTTCGTACATATTCAGTGAAGGTTTGTAGCAGCAAATTATCTGGTACGATATGATTTAAAGAGGATTCGGATTAAATACAAGGTATCACTGAGTTAATACTTGGAGCCGCATAGTGTTTTAGACTAGTTTGGTACCGATGCTTAATTATTCTGGCCAAATACGTGGTATTGAAGAAACAGATAATTCTAATTATATATAAAAACGCCGGAAATTTATGAATAAAACCCACCATAAATTTCTGATGCGCGTTTATCCTGTTCGGCCATGGAACACAGAGATCAAATATCAGTGGTTAGGGGCAAAGAATTTGTTAGAGAGAGATATTGAGTTAGAGAATACAGTATTTAGCGAATCAGGAAGACGAAATTAAGATCGATGGTTTGTCGAGTCTTGCTTACATCAAGCATATATCCGCAGATAGGAGTCTATTTGTGTCTGAACTTACCAGTGGTCGATCATTTAACAGACATAACACACGGGGAATTACATGTAACCGAAACTTGTCAAAGGATCATGATAGATGGCTACAGTTGTATTATTCAACGGCGATAGATCTGAAGGTGTCACGGACACTCAGAGTATTAGGATTCGCTTTTTTGTGGCACTATTTAAGTCGAGAACAACCAAAGCTACCTCAAACTATAAGTCAGGAATGGTGAGAATGGAAAGTATATTTGAATTATGGTTGGAATGTTGAGGAGTGAGTGAAGCAAACTTGCTAGTTGCTGCTATGAAATGGTCCTACGATGTATCCAACAGTGAATCAGTACAGGTTCATGACCGAGCAACTTCAGCTAAGGTGAGTCCAGTAAAGTGAATGAGGTCAGCATCAATGTTGAAGACTAACAGAATTATTAATTTTAGGGATTTCTCGTTAGAGATACAAAAGTTAAGTTTAGGATGCAGTAGCGAAGATTAAAAAGGTAGCGTATTTCGCAATTCACCGTCTTGTTAATCAACGCTGATGATTACGTACTGATTCAACTCCATATGATAGTCTAGAATTCTGGTTGATAGTTGTAAAATGAATACTCATTGTTCATCTCAGTAATTATACCCCTCCTGTATCGGTGTATTTATTTTTGTTTCTAAAATTCCGTTATATACTTACCTGACCATTTCCGTTTCAGTAATATTATTTTCATAAAGGGGAGGATTCCAGAAACAAATAACTAGGTTCGTTAGATACTCATTTATCCCGTCTACCAATTCAGTTCATGTATTGATGTTGGAATCCCATAGTCACTAACATATGGAAACAATTTTTCTCTACGCTTTGCAGGTAACGAATTTTAACTGTAAGCTTAATACTCATGATGTTACACTATTATGACAACCTGTCAGTTATTCGGGAAACTCTGACTAGTTGTGCAACAATCAACAGCTAAAAGCCATATCAGCCGAATATAAATCATTGATCTGTTAATTCAGTTCCAGTATTCTTTGTGGTGCATGTTACTCATGTTTATACGGCAAGACCCCCGTTGTTCCCATAAGAATGAGAAAACTAGTCAGTGGCAGTTATTGTGTTCTCACAGGCTCTCTACTGCTTTAAATAAGATTTGTGACTTTCAATCGGCTTCTTTTTCGTATTAGGACATCATATCGCTTAAAAAATCAAACTTACGCCAACAATGAAGCGTACGCGACTCAGACAAATATTAAAGATTCATTTGAAATAAAATTTATTATTCAGATTACGTTCCCGAAGTTTACAGTTAGTTCACTCATTTACTTTCCGTTTTATTTTTCTTTATTTTTTAGTATCATAGCTGTTGCTTGGAGACATAAAAGATGAACTATCACGTGATGTAGATGTGTCAGTTGAGATTTTCTGCCTAAAATAATGAATTTCGTCCTTATACTATATCAAATGCAGCTCTATACACCACAACATTAGACATCATGAAAATGGTTAGCTATTATATATATGGTCTTTATTTATTTAGGCAGTTACCGAATGGTGCTCTGGTCCCACAGAATATCATGTATTGAAAAACAACTTTCCGTTCACAGTTGCCGCCACGTCCTTGACCTAATTGTTCACTGATAAACAGGAATTTTTTGGGCCCAGTTTCAGGCACTGACACAATAGGTTGTCTGGTTTAACCTTAAAGATAGCACTTCATTAGTCTGACTGCGATTGAATCGTCTTGGGGGTACAAGGAATAATTATTTTATCACCTGATAGTCTGACAAGCGCATGAAAGTGAAATCTCGCTCAGGAGATAGTAAGAAATTTTTTTATATGACAGTATTTCATTCATTCTTTTTTGGAAATAATTTGACTGCTAACAGTAGCTTTACTGAAAGGATTGTCATGACTTGACTTTTATGAAGAGAACGCGATTGGTTGAATAGAAGCATTCATTGGTATTGTAGTGGTTTACTTTTGCTCGACATCGTCGCGTCGAGGTAGTCAGCATAGATCGTCTCAAGCCAGTACACGTCGACGACAGTGCCCCACTTGCTAATCCGAGACCCAATGCTAGACCTATCAAACCTACTAGTAGGATCCTTAAAGCTACTTCGGATCCCACGCTAGACAAGTCAGAGACCTCATTTTCACGTCCCAGTCAACAGCACACGTCATCTGCAGTATCTACGGATGAGACTCCGGTCTCACGTTCAGATCAGCAGACCACGCCGCCCTTGATTTCCGATGAGATTGACGGCTCACAAGATACGCACGAGACTACTGTCTCGCGTACGCCTACCTGTAAGTTTTCTCGAATAACCACCCAGGCAACAACGGATACGTGATAGTACGCTATCCTCGTACTATATATATGCCACTTTTCTTGCATTTCGTATCCTGAGCCCATGGCTATCACCATCACCCTGTTGGTACCATCGACTTCAGTTAATTTTGGCGGAAGCTGTCCTGATCACCCACGCTCTCGTCAATGAACTGTCGATGTTTTGGTTTCGAATGTTCTGGCATACGCATGGTTTAGAACTGGTCGTTTGTGGCTCCTTCGCTCAATTTGGTTCAGTCCTACGTCCGCAGTTTTTTTCTGGTACGAACCCCTGCGAACGCAATCTTCAGACACTGGATAAGAGCCACACTGGTGTGGCATGCCAACTCGAGCACTGAACTTGGCATGTTACTATTGGTACATTTCAACGTGGAAGAATCTCGTCGACAAATCGAGCTTCACTGGTCGCTTCCTGTCCGTCAACCCTTCCGCCCTACAACTGTCTGCTAGCTGACCGACTCCACTCCTCACGAAACCGCTAGGTATCGAAAGTGAAAACCCTTTCCAGGGGGGACTAATGGAGTGGTTTACTTTTACGAAGAAAACACAACTGCTGAAATATAAACATTTATTATTGTACTTAATTCTGACAATGTTTGTTGTATTGCACACCTCTTGTTTGTCTGTAGTAAAGACTATCTCTCGCGCGCCAAGCGTTATTCCGATTCTCCTATTCGCACGTTTCCTGTGTGGACGCTAGCCATTTGTACACCCTCTTGCCTCGATATCACGAGGCCAGTATCATGTGTACTTCTTCCTCTAGAATCTGCTTCTTATTTGATTCTTTGAGTTCGTGGATTAACATTTGTTATCCCGTGAAGAAGTATATCGTACGAATTGCTATAGTATAATTAACTGTAGCAGTGATTGTTTTACTGAACCTTTTGTACTTAGTACGCGCAAACTTTCCGTCTGTATTACCGTAGTTTTGGTGATACTGCTCCTTGTATCCTCATCCCTCTTTTCTGGCACGAAATCGCCAGCAAATATATTCCCTTGTATGGAATAACTTTTCTTCTATCATTGATTCACGGAGTTACCATATTTAGTGACGGGAACGTAAATAATCTGTAGTGATTATTTTAGTCAATTGCGACTCGTCTCGTCACAAGATAATGTAATAATTGACCTTGAAAATGAAAACCACTTGATGGAAAGAATAGACTACACACAACCTAATCAAACGTTTTAAAAACCATTTCAACTGACTACAAACTTCATTTTAGTGATTTAAATGCTGATCAAACAGCAGTTAGAGCCAAGACAAAACTATACAACGTCCTATGGATAAGTATTTCGGTGATTTTACTCACAAATTGCATTTTTATTGCTACAGTCAATAAACATAGATCGATAAAGAGCTAGAGTCCTAGCGTGAGCCAGTATAAGTACCAATTCAACATTACTTGATATTTTTACCGCTTAAAAACCCATAATTATGTGTCAAAGTGGTGCCTAATATAGGATAGATCTGAAATTTTCGCGTACATAGCCTTGATGTCTGAGAGATGACGTCAAGAATCTTCCATAAATGGCTCTCCTGAAGAATCCTATCCCACCAAATCATAACACTAGATAGATGGAGTAGTTAATTAAATAAACACTGGTCTTCCCATAACATGAGAACACCCATTAAATCAGGACCGTTCAAAATGAAGCCACTGTTCTACAGTAAACATTTATGCAGTTTAGAGTGTCAAGGCTCAGTAGCGCTGAGGACGCGCATTCCAGTTTCAGTTATCCAAACAAGGGATTTCACTTTCCGGCTTAACTACCAATTATCTTCGAATAATATTTTGGCGCTGTTTGACGGACGCACCCAGCTTGAGTGAAAGGAGTGTAATAAATTTTCCAGATATCTAAAAACGCAGACTAATTCTAAAACTTAGAACAGACTCGAGTATCATTTTAACTTAGTTATGAGCTCATACCACATGATGGAGTCCTTTTTGAGACCAACAACTAAGATAACACTAGGCAGTATTTAGAAGATAAATGGAGGGATACTAGTGTGGTGCGAGCTACTTATAATTAGTAAATGACGTGAGCGTTAACGTAATGTCTGGCAGCAGAAGATGGGGGAAGATCAAGAAAGGAAGAGTTAGAGAACAATGGAATTTGTATGAAAGGCATGAATAGTGACAATGGATTGATGTTTTGCAACAGGAACAGTCCAGTTCAATATGATGAACTGATATTTTGCAAATTAACGATTTATGATATGGTTTTCCGATTTTACTGAGTAACTCTGTAATTTTCGTTCAATAGAATTCGGTTGCCCCACCTGTGTTCTCGTTCACTACACTAGTATTACTTTGATCAACTATCTACACTTTGATAAGTACTCAGCAGTATAAAATGCACCCCGAAAAATTGATCAGTTCGAGATATCAAGTGATACAGAAAACAAGCTAATATATAACAGACTCCATAAAATTTTCACAGTCAAACTTCAAATATATTAGAAAACACACATATATGGCACAAAACTGTATGCTACAACTTGAAGCAATGCCTAGAATAAGTAAACATACGAAAATAAGACCTTAAAGAGTGGAATTAACCCAAGCTGAAAAACACACCTTATTTAGATGAAAACATACGTAGTTTACACAAAACGATGTGGACAGTATTTCGTGTAGAACTAAAACTCAAAAAGGAAGAATGTACCTTTATAAATAAAAGGACAAAGAAAAACATTCACTGCAGGGCATATTTAAGCCCCTCAAAATGTGTACAGTTAAAACGAACCATATAGCGGACTGAAGAATTAATTAAACATATTGTTTAACACAGCCAATAGCTTCCTTTGTTCAGAGGGAAGTTCATTTGCTCACCGAAATATGTGTTTTTGCAAGTCACATTAATGAGAACATTATTTATTGTAAACAAAGAGATGTTTTTACCAAATAACATAAGTTAGTATTGTGGGTAGTATTTGAACATAGAATCAAAGAATCGAGTAATTATTTTTGAGACTACCTTTCCCAAAAGTTATGAATGAGCATAAAATGGGAGTCATTTTTAAAATGCATAAACTTAAAACTGAGGCGATTAAAATATGTACATACACAAAAGAACGAATCCGATATAATTTATGTAGATAAGGTTAATAGACTAATTAAAACTTGAAATGGAAGCGTGGAATTGGCAAAGAAAAACGAAACTAGTCATAGGTAACTTAGGCGTAATAAATCGATGAAGATCGTTTCATAGTAGTAAATTAAGAACAGTGAAGATTTGATTTAATTGACTGATTGGTTGATAATGAGCAATCAAATTTATTCTGATCATTATTCAAAGCGCATCATCTCACAACACGTCATAGAAGGTAAGTCGAAAATTTTTGATAACGAAGTTTGAGTGGCAAACTTTAGAGAATAGATATAAGGAATGATAACATGGCATTTGAAAGATACAGGGTGAGTTCAGATTTGGTTTACAGAATGAGATTAGGCCAAGTACTTATAAACTCGACGATCATCTTCTAATCGAGCAAGAAATTCTCGTTCAATAAGCGACTCAATACGTTGTTTGATCATCAGAGGGGTAGGTACAAAGCGCGATTTTAGTTGTTCGATGACTTCAATAACAAGTTGTCCATGACTTAAAGTTTTACGAGCTTTCATAACCCTCACAATTGTTGCCTCAATCACATAACGTCGGTTTTCATCTACTTTTGTCCGCGTTTCCTGGCGTTCTGGTTCACTTTCTTTAACGGTGATACTTTGAACCTAAACATAAAAATATAAGGAAGATCAAACACAGCTTAAATGAACAGATAGTTAAAGCAGTTGGTAATTACGTATCTAGAAAATATATTAGTATATTCAGTACGAGTTGTTTTATCCTTAACAGTAATAGGTCAGATACAGTAGATTAAATTTGTTAGAAGCTTCAATAATTGATTAGTAGGGAAAGTGAAACATATTTAATCATAATATGTAAACAGTTACAGTGATTAATGTTGATTCTTAATAGACTAAGTAATCCGAACACTATTGGGTATAGGTAGCTTGAAGCTATAAAAAATTCAATATTTAAGGACTTTGAACAAAAATTTTAACGAATTCAACAAACAGACAGGAGTATATTTTGATTGAAAAAGCCTAAAAAACACACACAACGTATATTGGATCCACTGATGGAAGCGGAGAAGGAAATGGGTAAAAACAGGACATTATGTGATATTTGACATGCGAGGTTTATCAACACTAATCTAAAGGAATTTATTACTTTATTTGAAAAGAGAAAATAAATTAACTTTCGGGAATGTAATGCTTTATTCAAAAATGAATTCACTGTAATCAAAATAGCTGAAAAACATAGATTTACACACGTTACCCATTGTGAGGTATGGATTAAATTACCAGATCCATTGGTTTACAGATGATCTGTCATAATTATTAAAATTCAGTCAGTCAATCACAATGTAGAACTTCGTACGTACGTGCATCGGTTCAAGTTGCCATACCGCAATAACACAGAGAGGCAGCTGTCAATTTAAATCCCACAATAGTAGAGGGAGTGGAAAAATTAGCAGTAATAAAAAAGACTAGTGATCGAATGTATTATTCCAGATGTATACCCCAGCGAAATAAATAAAAAAGAGAAGAAAAACTATCGTGAGGAATTCATAAGATTAGGATTTGAGAGAACACAAAAAATGGATGCTCAAGCACCACTGCAAACGATTTTGAGCCGTTGTAAGGATATTCATGAAATATCCTAAGTGAATTATTTTTGTAAGTCTAATTCTAATGGTCAATATTATGGTCGTCCTGACTATCAATGTCACAGACTATTCGACCTAACTGTATAAATACGCATTAACTGTAACGTTTTAGGACCCGGATTCTTATCATCTTCTAGACTCGGACCTCGTACTTCCTGTATGCTTGTATAATACAGGCTCTACTTCACATCAAGTCCTCTTCTTTTACTCAATCGGGAGTTGGGACAATCAAATTAGAGTAGCATGTCGTGTCGCCGGATCCTTGGTCCGCGCTTTCGTTTTCCGACTAAGGTTAACTCTTAATAGTTCCAGCATATCAAACAGACATGCTGACGTGCATGCGTAACAGCCATGTCATTCAAGGTCTCTAACAATCGGTTACCATTGTCTCACGGATCCCAACTGATCAGTCTACACCTAACATCATGACTCAGTTCAGTTGTGAGTGACTTCGTGGATTTTTGCCATGTTTTGGTTTGGCCGCCCCTAGCTTTCTTCCTACCTATTCCTATATCGCAAAACATAGCTCGACGAGGAAGTCGGTGGTTAGGCATTCGTAACACATGTCCCAACCACCACAACTGATGAAGTTTCACTACTTCATCTATTGATCAGCCATTCTTACCTAGCACCCGTTTTCTAACAACAGCATTGCTTACTAGGTTGTCCCATGTGACACGAGCAATGCTTCTGTTAGTTATTTTATAACTAATTGTAGTTATGTCATAACTAACCAATCAGATTGGTTAAGCGCTCACCACGTCATCTAGTCTGACCAGTCTATAAACTTTCTTTGTTGTGAATGAATTATCGATTGAAGGATGTTATTATTTTATTTTATATAGATGTGACTCATGTTTTTATTCATTTTCTAAAGACACGCTATACTGTCCGGTACGTTTGCTCATCCTGCTTGATAATTGTAATTTCCTTATTTATTGTACTAAGTTAATCGTTTTTTTTGTTTAGAAACAGATACAGTTTAAACCCAAGTTTATTGTTCTGATTTACTCTTGAATCTGTCATCGGCGGCATTTGCGTTTACGTTTTAGAAATATATCTGTAGGACAAATTAAATCCTACAGCTTTGACGAAACCTATGATCGAAAATCAGTTATCTACGAATATCTCCTACTATGACTGGCCATTTTTCACAGCCATAAAGTAAGACCGAGCGAACCACTGCGCAGTACACTCGTCCTTTGGTTAGCAGACGGATATCTCTCCTACGCCATAAATGACGCAAGTTGGCAAAAGCCAATCAAGCTTTCTGTATCCGTGCTGAGATTTAGTCAGGCAGCAGACCATCAGCACTGATGAGACTGCCGAGATAAGTGAAGCGGTCAACATGCTCAACTGCTTCACTCCCTATCACTAATTTAGGTGCCGATACAAGTCAATCCTGAAGCAACATTTTGCATCTCGACGGAGAGAATCACATCCCGAACAAGCTTGCATTGTTGCGTAGGGTAGTCAGAAGACTGAATTTTGTCAGCGTCTTTGCCAAGTAGAACTACGTCATCGGCGTACTCGAGGTCGAGGAGTGAATCTCCTGGTAAAGGTTTAACGCCTGAAATGTCGTATGATGAAAGTGTTATATCTAAAAGCACGTCAACGACAAAGTTAAACAAGACTGGAGAGTGGAAATTCCTGACAAACACCACTCGAAATAATCTATTCTGATGGCAGTTCGCCATAACTCTCACTCGATCGGGGGTGTTCGAGTAGAATCTGTGTAAGGTTGACGTACTTCTCTGGTACACCTTTCACTGACGGATACTGCCATAGAATGTCACGATCAACAGAGTCCATATCAAATTATAAATTTAGAGATTTTCGTCACCAGAGGCAAACACTATAAAGCTAAAAAATTTTAATATCCAAGTAGAACAATCTCATGCTAATACGTATATGATGTTTGATATCAGTTCATTGAGGGTAGTAAAATATGTCCTAAATTCAGATTTTATTCTTTTTTACGATTAATCAACAATCAATTACATTTGTGACTTATTGGAAATATGTGACGGTGACAAAGTTAGGTTACTGTTTACTGGTAACAGACTATCAAAAAAGCTATTCCGGTTGGATGTAAAATTCAAAACAGTCACATAATACCTGTGCAAATATTATAAAACAGTATATCATAACGAATAAATGAAATCAAAGAAACCTTAAGACACTAGAAATTAATAAACTAATAATGATAATAATAATAATCAACAGCAACGTAGAACTTTGCACGTAAGTACAACAGTTGAAGTTGCCATACCACATTAGCACAGAGATACAATCGTCGATTCAAATCCTATAGTAGTAGAGGTAGTAAAAGTATTAGAAGTAATCGGAGAGATTAAGGTTCGAGGATATTATTCAAGAAGTAGAATCTAGTGAAATAAACTTAAAAAGAAAAAGATAAAGTGATGAGTAATTCAGAAGATTAGAATTTCATAGAACACAGAGTAAATGCACCTGAGCCATTGCAAACGGTTTTGAGCCATGTCATTAAGGGTCTCTCACCATCGATTATCATCTCGCAGACCCCAACCAGGTAGCCTACATCTACCAACATGACTCAGTCCACTTGTCAATGACTATACATTTCCTCCATGTTTTGATCTGACCACCCCTAGCTTTCTTCCAACCTATTCCTACACCACAAAATATAGCTCGACGAGGCAATCGGTGGTTAGGCATTCGTAACACATGTCCCAACCACCTCAACTGATGAAGACCACTGCTAATCTTTCTTTTTCAGGTTCCGGGCAGCCGGGAAGTGACAATCGCCCTCATACCCGTAACAACACACGAGACCAAATTGGTCACAATCAAATAATAATAATAATGATAACAACAAATAGCTTTTAAACATAAAGCATACAAATTCCATAAAAAATATTTAGTTTAGACGTACCCGAACTTTGATATGTTTTGAAACAAATGAATCATTTACATAAAATACATCATTCGATTCTATATCACGTGTTTTAGGTTCTTTGCATAAAATTCTTTGACTACAACGACCCAATGCTAAAGCCATAAGACTGCGTCTTAATTCACGTTCAGGAATATTTGTTTCACTGGCTAATTCAATAAAACTGTACCGACTTCGTCGATTGAATTTCATTAATATAATCATTTGATATGTGGAAACCTTAGAATGAAGCAACATAAAAAGGTATAAATTAGAAGTACACATTGAAAAATTCATATAAACATTGAACATTGGTTTTGATGATTAGTTAGATATTATGAGTTTTATGATTTAAAAATCTAATAAAAAACCAATAAATTTTAAAAAGAAATTATTCAAACAGTAGAAGTATGTTCATTTCGAGATGCTTCGCTTAACTGATTTCAGAGTGGGATGATCTCCAACAGGAACTATATAGGCTGCTTAACTTGATAAGTCACTTATAAGTTGTAAGGACTCCTAAGTAGCGCATATCTACGACCTCACAGAAAGGAATCGAACCCAGAACATTCGGTTTTCGGTCTCAATAAGTTTCTAGTAAACTTAAGAAGTTAGTGATGCTACCCCATTTGGTAAAATAAACCAAAAAAAGAGCAATTGAAACTTTGACATACATAACTGAAATAAATATATCCTGGTATAATGAAGCGATGATTAACATAAAGAACCATGATAATGGTAAAATAGTTAGCTCTGGTAAACGAAGCACGAGGCAAAATGACACCACCACTTGCATAAAAGATTCGAAGATTAAAAATCATGTACTTGGTAACTATTGAAATACACATTTACATAAATTAAATGAAGACGCTTGGTAATAAAGTGAAGATCCATGTTCGGACATTAAACTACATCTACAATGTATTGTTTAATAATAAAATACAGATTATTAAATATATACTGGAAAGAGTTGAGTTTGAACTAACGACAGCATGTTTGAAAGTCAAGTATATCAATTCGCCAGTCAGTCAGATGCAACGTAGAACTTCGTACACAAGTACATCAGTTCATGTCGCCATACCACATCAGCACAGAGAAGTAATCATCAATTCAAATCCAATAGTAGAAGAGGTAGTAAGGAAATTAGAAGTAATCGGAGAAGTTAGTGTTAGAAGATACTATTCAAGAAGTATGATTCAGTGAGAAAAGTCTAGAGAGTCGAAACTAGAGGGGTTGCAGAATCCAGAAGATTAGGATTTGAGAGAACACAAGGAATAAATGAACCGGTGCCATTGCGAACGGTTTCGAGCCATGTCACTCAGGGTATCTGACCATCGATTATTATCATCTCGCGGACCCCAACCAGGTAGTCGACAATTACCGACATGGCTAAGTCCACTCGTCAATGACTTCATGGATTTCTGCCATGTTTTGGTTTGGCCACCCCTAACCTTCTTCCAACCTATTCGTACATTACAAAACAAAGCTCGACGAGGCAGTCGGTGGTTAGGCATACGCAGCACATGTCCCAACCACCTCAACTGATGAATTTTCACCACTTCATCTGTTGATCTGCCATCCTTACCTAGCACCCGTTTCCTAATAACAGCGTTGCTCACTCGGATGTCCCACGATATACGAGCAATGCTTCGAAGACACCTATGATCGAAGACCAGTAACCTACGAATATCTTCTACTCTCACTGGCCATGCTTCACAGCCATAAAGTAAGACCGAGCGAACCACTGCGCAGTACACTCGTCCTTTGGTTAGCAGACGGATATCTCTCCTACGACATAAATGAGGCAAGTAGGCAAAAGCCAATCGAGCCTTCTGTATCCGTGCTGAGATTTCGTCAGTCACCAGGCCATCGGCACTGATGAGACTCCCAAGATAAGTGAAGTGGTCTACACGTTCGACTACTTCACTCCCTATCACTAGTTCAAGTGCCGATGCAACCCAATCTTGAAGCAACATTTTGCATTTCAAGGGGGAAAACCGCATCCCGAACATGCTTGCATTGTTGCTTATGGTAGTCAGAAGACTCTGCATTTTGTCAGCGTCTTCACCAAATAGAACTATGTCATCGGCATATTCTAAGTCAATAAGCGAGCCACCTGGTAGAAGGTCTACTCCTGAAAATTCAGACGAGGATAAAGTTATTTCTAGGAGCATGTCTATGATAAAATTAAACAAGAATGGAGAAAGTGGACATCCCTGACGGACACCACTTGAAGTGAAGAATTCCGGTGACAGTTCGCCATATGCTCTCACGCGACCAGTGGTGTTCGAGTAGAGAGCTTGTATAAGGTTAATGTACTTCTTTGGTACACCTTTCAATGACAGACACTGCCACAGAACCTCACGATCCACTGAGTCGAATGCCGCCTTAAGGTCCAGGAAAACAACTATTGTAGGACGCCTAAATGTGTGTCTATGTTCCAGGACCTGTCTGAGTGTGAAGATGTGGTCTATACAGCCACGTCCAGGTCGAAAACCAGCTTGGTTTTCTCGAGTCTGCTCTTCACGAGCTTTCGTTAAGCGTCGAAGTATTATTGACGCCAATATTTTAGATACTATATTAGTTAGACTTATTCCCCTGTGATTGTCACAAGAAGACTTTTGTCCTTTCTTATAGATTGGGACAATCAAGGTTTAAGACCAGTCGGATGGGATTGCGTCCAGTTCCCAGATTCTACCTAAGATCTCATTCAATCTAGCTGATAAAACTGGACCACCATCCTTAAATATCTCAGGGGTCAGTCTATCAGGACCTGCAGCTCGTCCTCGCTTCAGATTTCCTAACGCTTTTTCAACTTCATTAAGACTAGGCGGACTTACGTCGATTTGCCATTCAGGATGACTGGAGATCGTGGGTAACTGAAGAGTGGCTCGAGGCCAGTTGAACTGATCCCTAAAGTGTTCTGCCCATCAATCCAGTCTCCTGGATTGAGAATAAACAATAGTCCCGTCATTTTCTGAGATAGTCTCACTTATATTAGGATTCCTAATACCAGTTTCCTTGATAAGTTGGAAAAGTTGTCTACTGTTGCCGATCGCCGCTGCCTTTTCCATCGCTTTTGCTTTCGCCACCCACCACTGTTCGCGGTCGTTACGTAGGTTTTTTATAAGTCTGCGCCTAAGTTGACTTCGTTCTTCATCATGTTCAGAGCCAGGTGGGATGAGTTTTCGGGCATCCATCAGATCGGTGGATGCTACTGAGATCCACGGTTTCATTCTAGCCTTATGGTCAACCTTACTAGCCTCGCATGCTGGTACGGGTATGAGGGCGGTTGTCACTTCCCGGCTGCCCACACCGTGGAAGGTTGTTTCTTGAGGGACCTGAAAAGGAAGATGGATTAGTGTTGGTGCGTGACCGCAGAGTCCAAGGGACAACTGCTTCAGGCCGGTCACGCACGGCCTTTTTATGAAAGGTATTTAGAGGATTAGCTCCGTTCTTAAAGGCCCAGTGGGCACCCTTACCCAGGGAGACGGAAATCCGTGAGTTAGGGGAGGTGTGACATTTTTAGGGCCGACCTTTTCTAACCCTTCCTTCCTTGTGAGAAGGCAGCATCGCTGCAGATGCTGGTTGTCCGAGGGAAACACCTTACTGCTGTCACACCCCTCTGCAGTCAGCAGTACGACTTCGCCCTCAGACCTTGGGTAGCTGCTTTTAGTCACATCGTTCTCCAATCGACCAGCCTGGCATGGTAGGACCTGCAGGAACATATGTTCCAGCCAGTATAGCTCGGTTGGGTCATCACGATAGGCAAGCCCGACCACCACGTCAAGGTAGCAGCTTCGGTCGGGACCTTACTAGCAGATATCACTGCTGTTTCCACAGCCTTCTTGATATCATACCAACCTGCTTCTGGATGGGAATCGCTTTCATGTTTGCTTAACTTTCATTCTAGTTGCTCCTGAAATATTTTCTTAGTTTGATTAACATTAAGTAAAACCCTAAGAGGCTTTCTTACGGTGTCTTTCCTACGTCCAGTAAGCCTTAAACAGATAAGAGCTCGCACTAGGGCATGATCTGAATCCAAACATGTGCCCCAGAACGAGCGACAGTCCTCTATCGAACCCCTCCATCGGTGGCTGATGGCGATATGATCTAGTTGAGTCCAACGTTGAGACGACTTTGGAGGTCGCCAGGTCAGCAGATGCTTTTCCTTATGCCTAAAGTTGGTGTTTACTAAGAATAGGCGGTTATCTGAGCACAGTTGCAACAGACGGTCACCATTGTCTGTTCTCTCAGCCGCGACACCATAACATCCACCTAGGTGTCTCTGCTGCTCACTTAGTCTACCCATTGAGCATTAAATTCACCAGCCATTATTACTATATCAGAGCGCATAGCTTTTTGGAAGAGGTCCGAAAGCTTTCTGTAAAACTCATCTTTAACCTCGTCTGAACTGCGGTCAGTGGGGGCATAGGAAGATACGAAGAAGAGGCAACGGCGAGTGTCCCTATCCTTCCGAGTCCGTACCGTCCTGTTATGTCGGCGCACAAGTGACTGTCTATCGGGATCCAGAGATAGCTAGTTCTGCCCTACGGCTTAATACTATACCTAGACCAGAGAGGCCACGGGAAGCAGCATCAGTGCTACCGGATACACGAAGAGTGAATCGGGCTGCTTCTTCGTTTTGACAAGGTGGAATCAGGTTAATGACTTTACTAGGATCATGTATGCGCCTTTCCGAGACGCAGCATACATCGATGGCACGAGTTTCTAAAGTCCTAGCTAATGATGCCTGTTGCCCTATTTGACACAATGTCCGTACATTAATAGCTCCAACATGTAGTCTAGAACGGGGTTTCAAGAGACCAGGAACGACGTTTCGTGATCTCGCTTCGTCTGCATTAGCGGTGTAGTGAGAAAAGAGAGTGTGAGTAGAGTTAGTCGTAGAGATAAGAGAGACATTAGGGGGTGTAGGGAGGATTTGATTTCGACCAATTTGGTCTCGCGTGCTGTTACAGGTATGAGGGCGGTTGTCACTTCCCGGCTGCCCACACCGTGGAAGGTTGTTTCTTGAGGGACCTAAAAAGGAAGATGGATTAGTGTTGGTCTTGTAGACCTGGGAGCGTGACCGCAGAGTCCAAGGGACAACTGCTTGAGGCCGGTCACGCACGGCCTTTTTATGAAAGGTATTTAGAGGATTAGCTCCGTTCTTAAAGGCCTTTAGTGGGCACCCTTACCCAGGGAGACGGAAATCCGTGAGTTAGGGGAGGTGTGACATTTCTAGTGTCGACCTTTTCTAACCCTTCCTTCTTTGTGAGAAGGCAGCATCGCTGCAGATGCTGGTTGTCCGAGGGAAACACCTTACTGCTGTCACACCTCTCTGCAGTCAGCAGTACGACTTCGCCCTCAGACCCTGGATAGTTGCTTTTAGTCTCATCGTTCTCCAATCGACCTGCGTGGCATGGTAGGACCTGCAGGAACATATGTTCCAGCCAGTATAGCTCGGTTGGGTCATCACGATAGGCAAGCCCGACAACCACGTCAAGGTAGCAGCTACGGTCGGGTATCAATTCTCCAACTATAGATTCAATGATAGCACCTACTAAAGCACATATTTAAGTACCCTTTAACACCACATTGTCAACACTGATATCTTGCATTTTAATTAACATTTCTTTATATTTATTATATCAAACGATGGGATGAAAATGACTTATTGATACCAATTGATCGAAACACATGGTGATCAAATACAGATAGTTAGAAAATAAGATTATCAATTATTTTAATTTTATTATTTTTATTATTATTTTTACACATCTGCTTATTACGTAATGTTTTTGATGTTTTTTGATGATTATTTGAATTCTATTCATCCACCCTTGACCTACTTTAGTTATCATATTTTACAAATTTTCTTACTACTATCAGTACACCTGTTTTCCTATTATCCACTTGAACTTTTGCCTATTAGATGTAGTTACGTAATCTTTTTCACTTCATTGTGATTATCACTCAAATTGCCTTGATTGATTTAACATTTTCATAGGCGCAGACTTATAAAAAGCCTACGTAACGACCCTGAACAGTGGTGGGTGGCGAAAGCAAAAGCGATCGAAAATGCAGCGGCGATAGGCAACACTAGACAACTTTTCCGCCTTATCAAAGAAACCGGTATTAGGAACCCGAATGTAAGTGAGACTATCTCGGAAAAGAATGGTCTTATTATCCATTCTCAATCTAGGAGGCTGGACCGATGGGCAGAACACTTTAGGGATCAGTTCAACTGGCCTTCAGCCACTCTTCGGTTGCCCACGATCTCCAGTCATCCTGAATGGCAAATCGATTAAGGTCCTCCCAGTTTACATGAAGTTGAGAAAGCTATAGGAAATCTAAGGAGAGGTAGAGCGGCAGGTCCCGATAGGCTCACCCCTGAGATGTTTAAGGATGGTGGTCCAGTTTTAACGGTTAGACTGACCGAGATCCTAGGTAGAATCTGGGAAATGGACGTAATCCCATCTAACTGGTCTCAGTCGCTAATTGTCCCAATCTACAAGAAAGGACAGAAGTCCTCTTGTGACAATCACAGCGGAATAAGTTTAACTAATATAGTTTCTAAATTGTTAGCCTCGATTATACTTAGACGTCTAACTAGAGCTCGCGAAGAGCAGACTCGAGAAAACCAATCTGGTTTTCGACCTGGACGTGGTTGTATAGACCACATCTTCACACTACGACAGGTCCTGGAACGCAGACACACATTTAGGCGTCCGACAATAGTCGTGTTCCTGGACCTTAAGGCGGCATTCGACTCAGTGGATCGTGAGGTTCTGTGGCAGTGTCTGTCATTGAAAGGTGTACCAAAGAAGTACATTAACCTTATACAAGCTCTCTACTCGAACACCACTGGTCGGGTGAGAGCATATGGCGAACTGTCATCCGAATTCTCTACATCAAGTGGTGTCCGTCAGGGATGTCCACTTTCTCCATTCTTGTTCAACTTTGTCGTAGACATCCTCTTACAGTTAACATTAAGCTCGTCAGATTTTTCAGGGGTTGACCTACCAGGAAAGTCGCTTACTGATCTAGAATATGCCGATGACATAGTTCTATTCGGTGAAGACGCTGACAAAATGCAGTCTTCTGACTACCATAAGCAACAATGCAAGCATGTTCGGGATGCGGTTTTCCCCCTCGAAATGCAAAATGTTGCTTCAGCACCTGAACTAGTGATAGGGAGTGAAGTAGTCGAGCGTGTAGATCACTTCACTTATCTGGGGAGTCTCATCAGTTCTGACGGTCTGGTGACTGACGAAATCTCAGCTCGGATACAGAAAGCTCGATTGGCTTTTGCCAACCTGCGTCACTTATGGCGTAGGCGTGATATCCGTTCGCTAACCAAAGGGCGGGTGTACTGCGCAGCAGTTCGTTCCGTTCTCTTATATGGCTGTGAAACATTGCCAGTAAGAGTAGAAGATACTCGTAGGTTACTAGTATTCGATCATAGATGTTTAAGAAGCATTGCTCGTATATCGTGGGACAGCCGAGTAAGCAATGCTGTCGTTAGGAAACGAGTACTAGGTTAGGATGGCAGATCAATCGATGAAGTGGTGAAACTTCATCAGTTGAGGTGGTTGGGACATGTGTTACGTATGCCTAACCACCGACTGCCTCGACGATCTATGTTTTGTGGTGTAGGAGTAGATTGGAAGAGAGCTAGGGGCAGCCAAACCAAAACATGGCAGAAGTCCATGAAGTCACTGACTAGTGGACTGAGTCATGTTGGTAGATGTAGACTAGCTGGTTGGGGTCGGCGAGACGAAAGTCATCAATGGTTAGAGACCTTGAACGACATGGCTCAAAATCGTTTGCAATGGCGCAGGTGCATCCACTCTTTGAGCTCTCTCAAATCCTAATCTTCTGGATTAGCCAGCACCTCTACCTTTGTCTTTCTAACCTTATCTCACTGAATTATATTTTTTGAATAATATCTTCGAACTCTAGTCTTCTTTATTAACATTAATACCTCTACCATCTTTATCACCATGGGATTTGATTTGACATTTGCGTCTTTGTGCTAATAATGTGGTATGGCAACATGAACTTATGTACATACGTACGAAGTTCTACGTTGCAACTGACTGACTGACTGACATATAAATATTCACGTATATTAGAGTAAAGCCTGATGACGATCTAATCGAAAACAATATTGTTCGCTTATATGTGTTGTTCTAATTTTCACAATGGGAATCTTTAAAATTCTTATTCTATGGAGATAAGGTGATCAATTTGAAAACAATTTAAAAGAGTGGCTTGAATAAATAGGGGATATAAGAAATTAGGGGTTGATTACTAGCGTTGAACACAGTGAATGGCTATAAGGGATACTGCACTATTGCTTTAGTGTCTGATCCAATGTTTATTGGTACCACCCAACCGATCTATTGGTCAATTCACGAATCAATGCTTACCGGATTAATTACAACTATCAGCTTACTATTGACAACAACAAAAAATATTGCAACTTTAAGTGGACCCTACGTTAGAGATTAACTGATTGAAATATAAGCTGACCAGCTTCAGACAAACTTTATGTGGCTAAGCTGAACGACGTTTAAAGATTACTGTCAGATAAGAAACTATCTCTCCTCATAAATAAAATTTCTAGTGTTAATCAACCCAAATATTAAGTTAAGACTTCTTAGAACTAACTGGAAAAAATCATTTGAAACAGTATTATTATGGTTAAGAAAAGTTAAAACATTGATACAGTTGTTGAAAAACAGTGTTCAAATATGTGACACAAACTATTCTATAGTTATTTTTGACTATTTGAGACACATAATGTTACAAATTTACTGTTAATTTACTATGAAACGACTGATTTTAATACCATTCGAATGTGGAAATGAAGACTATAATAAAGCGCTATTAGTTATGAGAATCTGATTACAGTTGGCCTGTATGAAACACATGAATGACTAAACAGAATCAAAACAACGTCTATATACTAGTCAAGATTTTTTACTGTTGTATAATCATTTTCTTTTTTTCTATTGCTTGGAACCTATCGCGTATACTACTTCGATCTAAGCTTAACAAGTCTGACAACACAGACTGAAATATGTAACAACATAATTGGCAATATCCCACTATTTTTAACACCGGACAGGCAACTGTTAATAGAAGACGATTTTAAAGGTATTTTATGAGTATAATAAGCAACAATTAATACTAACAACCTAATAATTGAATATACGGGCCATTATTTTAACTTTGTGTATGTGCGAAGAGTAACTAGGTAGAGTGTTTAGATTGGTATTTATTTCAATAATAGAAGTTTTATGACGTTTTATTAGTTAATATTTGCGAAATTATTCGCTTAATAATAATCGAAAATTTCTTGCAGATAGAAAAATATATTTACCTGTAAGAAATATTTTCGTACATTTGATTGACTAGAAGTACTAATTGAAATGGGTGGATCCAGTGTCTTTGGAGCTCCTGGGCTTCCTGGCAATCCACTGATTTGAGTCTGCTGATTACTTGTGATTTGATTCGAGGACATGGAACCATGAATGAGGAAACTGTGAGTATGTGAGTCAGTAACAGAAGATATTTGAGGTGCATTGGCATCGGAACTAGGCCGACCATAAAATACAGCAGACAATTCTGCGTATCCCATATTTGTTTGTAGATTTATCTTCCGACCATTATGTTTGCTTAAATAGAAGCTGAATAAAATTGCAAACAAAAATCGTATTAAGTCGATTCAAAATTTATCATTAATCTAATATTTAGGAGTTGGGTATAATTTCACCACACTGAAAGCGATCATTGATTGTCTCAGTAAGAACGAAAGTCATATTGTGATAACCGCAGAGATTGAGTGATGCGATTTCTGGGGTATAAGTTTCCATATCTATATAACTACTAACACGCCCTCAAGATCACTAAAATCGAGAAAATTAGGCAGTTTTTAAAGTTAGCTGAGGATGTACTTCTCGTCAGGTTTCGAAAAAAAGGTATACTCAACCGAGGCCAGAGTAAAAACATATTTCTTAACTCATATGTGCGACTTAAAAGAGGTTAGTGGGACTGTTTATTATTGAAGTTATCTATTGAGACATTGTTAGTTAAATGAGAGCTTGTGGATATCACTACGTCAAGTGATGTTCATCACTGATACCCAGTCTCCATTTTTAATTAGTTATATCATAATTATTTGCAAGAGGACTGTTCAGAGACTAATATCGAAAGTGGAGACTTTTCTAATGCAGTTGATATAATTCTGCTTGGTGATGTTGACAAAAGATGGTCCTTTAAATGCCAGCGACAGAATGTTTAGGATATGTAGTCTGCAGTCTAAGACAGCTGACAATGTCTAAAACTGGTGGCGGTCGTATAAATGCTTTTGTTCTTTACCTCACCATGAGTCTTCGAATTCACTGAAATTTCATATTTTTATTATTTCGACCTTCATTCCATTCCACTTAATATTGTTTTTCTTATTACGCTGAAGAGTGATATGGTTACTTAGACCGCTAATTACTCGTGGTAAGTTGCACGCTGTCTACAATATATTATTGCGAGGTTCAAAATTAGATCAACTCCTCCAGTAGAACCTTCGGGGCTACTGCCGGTCCCAAGCCCGGGTAAAGGAGGAGGGTTGGACATGGGGTTGGCGACCCCATTCCGTCGAAAACTAACTTGCCAAAAAAACGCTAACTCAAAATTAGATCTGAACTACTGTTTAGCGAAAAATGAAACGAAATGCTGACAATTAGGCAGTTTTTCTCATAATAATCATTTATAAATCTATAAAAGAAACAGTGCAAAACAAATCAGAGATTTGAGGTTGCGCAGTTAGCTTGTATGTCTATAATCTGGTGAGCAACTAGTGTGAGGACCTTTCAGATTTATTGCCAGACGCCTTATTAAATAATACATTCTCATCACAACAACAAAAATCGTCATATGGAAATTAAAATACCAGTATTACTAAAAGACTGCCTGATAAAATGAAACTCAATGTTATAAGTATTCAGCATAATAATTTAGAAATATGTTTATGTTTCGCCTGTTACTCCCAATGGAACTGACCAGCATTCTTCAACCCACTCTGAACTCCACCTTCCTTTCTAGTTCTGTCCAGTTGCTGCTTATTCTTGTCATATCTGTCTCTATTTATCGGCGTAACGTGTTCTTTCCTCTTTCTTTGGCCGTGAGGATTGGGTGCTTTTCGCAGTGTCTTATCCACCTCCACTGCTTCTTCTTGATTTCCTCCTCCACTGGAATCTGGTTTGTTCTCTCCCACAGTAGGTTGTTGCTGACAGTGTCTGGCCAATGGATCCGAAGTATTTTGCGTAGACAACTGTTAGTAGACACTCGTATCTTCTGGATGATGGTATTCGCGGTTCTCTAAGTTTCCGCCCCATACAGTAAAACTGTCTTGACATTTGTATTGAAAACTCTGACTTCGGTGTTTGTTGATAGTCGTTTTGAGTACCAGATGTTGTTGATTGTAGAAATGCAACCCTTGCTTTGCCGATCCACGCCTTCACATCTGCATCAGATCCGCTGTTTATTGATGAGGCTGTTCAGGTATGTAAAGGTTTTTCAACCTTCGAAGATTCTCCGTCAAGTGTGATTTGGTTGGTGCATGTTGTGTTGTATCGGAAAATCTTGCTTTTCCCTTTGTGTATGTTGGGACGTTCTGCTGCTACGCCAGATCATCTGTGAAGTCTAGATCGTCCAGGAGCTGCTCCACTAAGTCCACAGCTAGAGCTCAGAAAATGAGTAAATTGAGTCACAAACAGTAGCACCTGATGTTTCGACCTCAAGACTAGAACTATGGTAACTACACCAACCAGAGAAAATAATTCAAACCATTTTCGGAAATATGGTCTGCTTAAAACTCAGTAACATATGCAGAACTAAATATGATCATAATAACAATAGCTAATGTCCATTATGAAGGATATGTGCATAAAATAACTTACTTTTTATAAACTTTAAACGCTGTATCAGCTTCTTCCGGTAACGCTTCGTTAGAACTAGTCACCTGAGTTGGCCAAAGACCAGTAGTTAGTACGCGAACATACAGGTCTAGGTTAAGATTGCGATTACTATTAGATAATACTACATTGAATTCATCCATAAGTGTTTTAGACACCGCCATATCTTTGAACATTCCTTCTAGTTTACTGGTGTATACAGCGCCACACTCGGCCATAAGTTTGGATATCATAATCTTTTCTTGATCATCTGACTGACTTTTGCTCAACAGCAACCGTTTTGCCAGGTGCTTTTTGTAATAACCTTCAAATAGATCCTTTTCCTGTAAATATCGGAATAATACAATACACTTGTCGAAAATGGCATCTACATCTTGGTCGGCCATACCTTTGGTGCCACGTTTAAGTTTTTCATCAATAAACAATGACAGAAACTCGGGGGAACGAGGATTTAAATTGACAAAGTACTCAAAATCAGAATTAATTTGATTACGAAATATTGTTTGATTATTAAGCGCCCTCATTAGTAATTCATTAGCGCGATCGCGCAATTGAAGCAAATCTTGAATATGTTGTTGAGGTGTTGATGAATCAGTATCACGTACAGTATTCCGTCCTTGCTCCCTTAAATAGAGACTAATGTAGTTACTCATTATTTTAGGTCCTTCTTCAACCCTACTAAGAACGCCGTACATGGCAGCGATATCACTGAAGTGATCATGAGTTAACATGTAAGTCAATCCTGAATCTTCCATGCCAACAACAGTTTCCATATGTCGACTTATAAGTTCTTCTTCTAATACGGTGACGATTTTGGGTTCTGTGGACGGATCGAGATGATGGTGTGCCCTTCGAACTTCCTCTTCAATTCGCTGTTCGACTTTTTTAATATATAAGGAAGCAGAAGTATTTTCAGCAAGGAAATTTTCACTTTCTGTGCGGTAAAACTCCCTCGACTGCTCCAAAAACGGCTGTTCGAAATCTTCAAGGTAAACACGTAATGATCCGGCTCCTAACTGTACAAACATCTGACAGGCATCGCGAATCTGAGAACGTGATATTACCTCACCCCGACGTTCCCGGCGCACCATATCTAACAGAGTTTTTTGCAAATGCTCTCTAATAATTGGATAACGTACGACAAGATCGCAGAAAACAGTCATCCCCATTTTATAAACTCCATCCAGATTATGAGGGCCTACGTAGACACGGTCCATGTACATAAGAATATCACGAATCATTCCCATAGCAGTTTGATGGTCCTTCCAACATGAGTTAAGGTAAGTTAAAAACTTATTATTGAGATTTTCAACAATATTGTCGCGGATTTTGATCATATGTTCACGTACAACAGCCTCTGTCCCCGCATACAGACGCTCGCCATGTTTCTGTAGTATCAAGGTGTATGCATTGCGGTACAGTTCTTCGAAGCTCAAACAACTGTTGTTCTTTTTCTGGATCTCAATTATCGCGCTTTTAATCTGATCCCATAACTGATTGGCATATCTTTCATCGATTGAAGGAGGGAAAGCTTTGATTCGTACTTTGGCACTTGTCACCTCAGTTCGACGAGCACTGCTACCTGTAGACATATCAGGTTTCTAAAACCAAAAATACATTAAAGAATAACTGTTTAAATCTAACAAACTCGTATATGATTGAAACTTCTGTAAGTGATGTTTATGAAGAAAAACATTGGATACTATAAAGAGCTCGTTTTTATGGATTCAGTAACTGTAATATGCTCAAACTTATTACTGGTAACCACTAGCTAGTCTGCAATTATCGAGGATTGTACATAGAGATTACATCACAAGTGATTTAGTATCTCTAGGTTCAATGAGATAATAAGCGGTGGAAGATGCAAGAAATTCTACAGCAACGGACAACTGTCTACCATCTAATTATTTTGGAGCTACGTTAGTAAAAAGCCACCCTTTAAATTTGAACAATATTACAACTGACACTTAAAAGTCGATCTACATAGTGAAGTACCAACTTATTGACTAAATTCTGATTTGATGTGGTGTATTAGTAAAAGCATCACAATATTTCAAGAGTCGCTCTCATATTTTTGGAGTGAATTTTAAAGGTGAAGGAAAGCTTCTTCCGCTAAATTTCGGAGCATAAGTCACAAAACTTATTTTTAGGCGAAGGGACAATCATTATAACAAGTAAATATTAGTATTGCTGAACGTCTGGAGTATAAAAATCCAACTGTACCTTAACACCTCGAACTTTATATACTAAGTATTATCTCTGACTATACAATTATCCCAATCTCAAAGGATCATCTCACTACATTTTCCCTTGTTTCAATTATGAAAATGGTGACCTAGATGTTTAAACCCAAGGCTACCTACTTCAGTTTAGGCATCATGGTTATATCGTTGGTCCTCACACATAGATGTGATTAATCACCAAGTATAAAAATAACATGTACCTAATGAGCTTTGAAATGTACCTACGATGTATATGCTATATTTAGTAAACATGTCAAATTGTTACACTATAGGATGATGATAATGGTGTAGAGCCTACGTACACAACTGACACAGATGGAGGCATTATAATTAAGCATTTTGGATAGTGCGCGAGACCATACGGAAAGAGGATTAAGTGGGTTTCACAAAAAGCCTCTACTAAATATAGATGAGCACAGACTCAATACGGAAATCTCCCTGAATCGTATTTATCAACAGAATTACTTTAAACCTTATATTTTTGATATATATATTGAGATGTAACTTATCTATCAACTATAGGTTTATGTACTCAGATTTGAGCTAACATGTTTGCACAAACAGATTGTACTACCCAGAGGCACATACTAGAGTAGTAGTAGTAGAAGCTAAACCTAAGATAATGAATGATGAAAACACCATGTATAACTAATTGATAGACCGAATTATATTTCCTGACAAAAAGGCATATGGAGTCAGAGGATTTGTCAGTAGAGATGACTAAAGCACACTAACAGGTTAACTTATGACAGCCGCTCGATTAGAGATCAATGCAGTTAGTTTGTTACGGATGTCAGAGGTTCATTAGGAGACTATAACAGAAATGCAGTGCTCCACTGCTTGAATGTGTTAAGTGGTGGACTAGCTTGAAAGACCGAGCACAAGAAATAACTACACCCGCGTAGATGAATGTATTTCAGGGGTCACTATTAGGTTGTCGTAGTATCTGCGTATAAATGACCCTGCGTAATGAAGTATTATCGCACTGGAGCCATTTTCCACAGGTACAACACGGACTAATGGTCTAGAATGATCAACATAATAATTTATAATACTAGCTTTAGATCTTTCAATTTGATGCACGCTGGGAAAGCTACCTTCCAACGACTGAACCCACAAAAAGATGGGGTACCGACTGCAGTTTGTACAGAGGAATCGTATAAAAGTATACACGGAATGCTAACCGAGTACTTATATTCCGTTTAGGTAAGGACGAATTACACCTAAAACGGCCGTAGTTTACACAGCAAGTGCCTAGGGAGTCACACGTGTAAAATCTGTTTAACGGTTATGATGAGAACCACAGACATAATCAGAGAGTGAAAAATAACTGTTACATTTTTATTCAGAACTGAAAATATTGCTATCGCAGGTCCCGATACAGATCATAGGCACACTTGCTTCTTAAAAAGCCTTTAAAGGATAAAACAGGCTCTGAGGAGACTTCGCCTATGGATAAGAATCATTGCTTTAGGAAATAACTTTATGTGTGACTTAAAAAGCATCTTAAACATCAGACTAACTGGATTAGCAACACATCAACGTCCCAGACCATAAGGCGCGCCTCGGACACGGGTTCAAACAAGTGATCGTCTTAAGAAGGAAGAGATTTCTATTTTACGGCTTAAATGTTTCGATCTTGCGTTGAACGGTAAAAGACTCCTTATATGGAGTTTCTACTGCTTGCTTTTGAGGGATCACTGCCCATACGGTATTGTTATATGTAGAAGGGGGGTTAATAATGTTGTTAAAAATCTAGCGTATAATCTTTGGGGGACAACGGTGATTAGTAACACACATTCAGTTCGATCGTTTCAGTTTCATCGTTTACTATAACCGTACATGCTGGTTATTTCAGTTGTGTTTTCTTAACATGCTCATGCCGGTTACTCCGATATCCAATATATCCAATATATTTTCACGAGCTAGTATAAACCAATTGATTTCTTTGCTCTCGATTCTTGTTCTTTGGGTAGGGTTCCAGGTGTTCGGTAGTGCCCAGTGAATTCGGGTCTAGCTACTCGACTGTCCAATTCTAGTCAGTTGGTAGTTGGTTGTGAGTTTGTTTGTTCCGTGATTTGAATGAAAAAGTTTGCTTCAGGGCAGTAGGGTTTCTCGATACCAGCAGCTATCACATTACGAGTCCAGAAATCAGTTATTTACTATGTGGAGGAAAATAAGGAGAAAATTCTAATGCTAATAAGAAGATTTCTGAACAAAGTAAATAAACGGATAATTTATTCTATTAATTGGTAGTGATTGGCAGTAGATTGTGAGAGAGGACCGAATTGTAAGTGAGGGAGCGGAAGCAGAGATAACAGGCGAGATAGATTAAGTTAGTTATCTGAAGAGATAGAAAACGTAACAACCAGCAGGTCTCAAGACATGCATCAGGCACAGATGGTCCACGAGGCAGACAATAGTCCGTATGTGAGTACGTGATTATCAGCTCTCTTCCTAAAGCTGTTCGCTGAGGAGGCTGTGGTCACCTCGGCTGGGAGAGCATTCCAAGTTGCAACGACTCTTAATGAGAAAAAAGTGTGCAAGAACCTGACGCACAGTTTTTCGAGGATTGCTTCGAGGGGAATGGTGGTGATGCATTAGTAAGATGCTCACGTTGCTTAACATGTTGCGCGCCATAGTCAGTTCACTTCTGATCCTCTTGTTGCTCAGTGGGAATAATCCCAAGTGCTGGAGTCTATCTTCGTAATGTTTATTCTCCAACCCTAATACCCACTCGATCCAAGAGATTAATGTCTCTGTTAAGCAGAGGTGGTGCGATGACGTTATGAACCTCCAGGCTGGGGCACACGTATGTCTTAAACAGCGTTAAGAATAATTGTGCGGTAATAGCACCAAGTTGTCTTCGCATAAAGTGAAGAGTCACATCCGCCTTGGCTGCGTCCCCTACATAGAATCGGACCTAAGTTGGTCCCCTGTGTAACTCGCGATGTTGAGAGTCGCCAACTAGCGTGCGCTCTATTTACCTTGGTACGAAACTTTCTGTTCTCAAGGTCGTTTTTGAGGCAAGATATGAGTGGATCAATGATGCCTATTTCTGCAACTTATGCGAGTAGGCGTGCGTGGGATTCTGAGTCGGAGGCTTGTGCAAAGTCAAGAAATATTACATGAACCGGTATTTTTGGTCCAAGCATGATGTCCAACTGTCCCATGCTATGAAATATTAGATGCTCACGACCTGCCTTTCCGAAACCCGTGTTGAGCTTAAGAATACTGAGCATAAAAATGCTAAATATGACGATTGTTCAGTTTCTATCAAGACTTCTCACCAAGTACTAAGTCAAATAACTGTCGAAAACCAAGAAATGCTAAAAAGCTCAACTGTCTTTGCACAGTTTTCTTTAACTGCGTGCAATCACGACTCCACAGATGGTAGTTGAACCATTTTCAATCAATCATTAAACTTTCAGTGGCAAATGTTCCAAGCCTACCGAATGGCACACAGTGCTTGATTATTTCAATTACCTTCGGTTTACCTGCAACCGTACCGAAAGAACACGAATTTAGCGCATAGAAGTCAATCGGTTTACACTAGCTCGGGAAAAAGATATTGGATATTGGTTATTACACCCTTGAGAACAGGGTCACGTAATCTTATGATACTTGGTAGTCTGTATTGTCAGTGTCAACAAATGTGCATGCCACTTTACCCCTCCATGATAGCTGGATCAATTCCTTTATGTAGAGGCCTGAGGTGACGTTATCACCTAATTATTTAGGCTTGTATAGCATCGTGAGACAAAGACTATCAAAGGGGGGTCTCCAACCAACCTTATAGTTGACTTATATTTTATTTGCTGCCATGCGCTGTTCAAATTCTTCATGCCTACATCCAAATTCGAGCATCATGTAACTTACATTGCCCCTTTTTTGCGCTTCATTCATTCTCATTCTTTGCCTGTTATCCCCAACGAAGCATAGGCCGCCCACCAGTTTTTTTTTACGCTAAGGATCCCAATGTATAATTCCCCATGTGTAACAGTTTGATGATGCTAGCTTGCTTATTTCTGAAGGCAAATTTGATCGATCTTATAACGTGATACATATAATATAGGCTAATTATGTAGGTACGGTCAAATGTATTTTTATTTGAGAAGCCGAGAAGCCAAGTAAGGGTTATGTAGAAGTCACTTGTCATAAGTAATGAATTAGCGCAATAAATCACGCGTTAATGTCAGACAATTCGATGATACTTTAGATTCATTTTCAGATTGACCGCTACCAAGTCTACATTTGAAGCTATGCGAGCTTCTGTTTTTATTCTCCCTTCGTCCACAGACCTGAGTTTTTATTGACGCACATGTAATTGATCTGATTTGATGTGGTGTGGTTCGATGGAAGCCATCTGGCTTTGCATACGCGTTTGTAGAAGACAATGTTGCCACCTATAATCATGTTGAAAATGCAGATTTTCTAGTTTTCTAACATTCTCTTCCCTTTATACCAGTCATTGTCACACATGATGTGTCCATACCCGATGTTACACATCCCGACTCTGACATCCGGTCCTCCTGACAATATTATCAGATATTTTCTTAGACAGTTATTTACGATGAGCCGGAGCTGCTTTTACAACTGATTTTCATCACCACTGCTATTGTTAACGAGTGTCTTGCATGAAATGACATTTGTTGTAATTCCTTCTTTGTTTTGAAGGGCACTCTGATAATGCTAGAACTGTAGGTTTTCTATCCTATAAGTGCTTACATTACTTCTCTGGACATGATCAGTCCTACTACTTGTGTGTGTGGTGGTTGGCGGAGCACAGTTTTCTTATCGACTACAGTACTACAATATCTCTCATAAAGTTGGTCTTTTCTCTACAGAATGTGTTCTGTGGGTTTCACTAATTTCAATCAGATGCAGCTACTATCTTCTCATCTCAGCGGCTATTTGAGTAACTCCTGACCACTCTTATTGTTCGAAAATTCTGTATGCCAGTGTTTATTGTTTTCTTAGTTGTCTGACATGGTGTTGGACTCATGCTTTCGGAAACTGTCAGCTTTTAACATGAGATTTCATAACTGAAGTGTGATTAAACTTTAACAGGCTGTTTAGATCATTGAGGTTTATGCGACAGATACAATTTCGCGAAATGCACGTAGCATTATAATCATTTCAATTTGAGAACCTATTTATGCCTTTCATGAACTGCCTGAGAAATCGGACTCTGTGATAATCAGATATATGGTATGGTATAGATCTTGAAACTATTTCTGGACTCTGAAATGGTTCCACCTTAGATTAGGAATTACACTTGGGTTTTAAGCTTATCAGTATTAAAATCTCTATGATAATGTTCAGTCAAAAAATTTATGAATCATTTCCTCATATATGTTAGAGATGCTCTCTCTTCATTTGTAGCAACCTGATCACGTTTGTAAACTGATGTGCATTCTCTCATTATTTACAGAATCAGTTACAATCACTTTTAATTTTGGTAAACTACAAATACAGCTTGATACCATTCATTTACAATGATATATTCAAACATTCGATGCCTACATTTAGAACTCCAATCTATTTATCATGAATGAATTTTGTCTCAGTTTATTGATCATCGAAAGCGGAAGGTGTTGAACAACTATGTCGTTTTATTCTCAGATTTATTATCTCCAATCACTCAGGACGCTAACTTCCAAGTAAACTCTTCAACGATTAGTACCTTTACTTATAACCGCAAATTCAAATGAAAAGCAAGTCTCGAAAATAATCTTTTCACATTTTAAAATATAAGAACCAAAATTGGGCTTGAAATTTATAAAACAAAATACCTGAAACATTGAAACCGGGATTAGTAAATAATACTTCTAAAAGTTGTACATAGAAGTACTAAATGATTTTACCAGAAAGAGTAGCATCAAAATGAGTATACTGTAAAAGAATACATAAATAAGCGAGGAAATCAGGAATAATGCTCCATTACTCAGTGCAATCTTATCCAACTAGCTTGAATTTATTCCAGATTTCATTATAGTCTTTTAACAAAAATACTTTTACACATCTGAGTTAAATACAGGTTCATCAATACTAGAGTCCATTCAAATAATTATTTTAAATTAATGGTCACAGAAGTTTATTTGTAAAGTAAAAGGGATTGTGAATATGAAATTATATATTTACAAAAAATGTACTATAGAAATATTCTAAATTTAAATTATTTGATATGTTCATCAATTAAATTGACGCTTACATCGCTCTTCAATTTTGTTTGCAACATATTTTTAGTATCTTAGAAAATGAATTCGTTTCTTCATTGCGTTTTTATTAGAATCCGAAAATATCGGGTTTAATAAGTAATCAAAAAAGTTCTTGATCTTATAACTCAAAAACTCAGTGGAAAATTACTACATATCTGTAGCTACTAATGCCGAGTTTGATGCTTTCTGAATATTTGATAATATATTCATTCGAATTATTTATTTCGTAAAATACTAATATCTGTAGATTGCTTATTGACCATTAACTTACATAATCTAAAGAACAAGTGATGACCAGAGGAAGTTTGAAAACATTTTCTTTCTTGTTTGGGATATATGAACAGTGCTAAGCTACAATTTCACTAGCAACTGAACCTGCGACCCTCAGAATGAAACAGCCACAAGCAACATAGAGCCTAGCATATATGTGCACGGATTCAAAATGCTATGCTTTATTAGCACTTCGAGATGAAATAATCAAGAAAAATTCACGATTGGTAGAGGGAATAATATTATGAGCAGTACTAGAAAGGTGATAACTAAAGTGCAACTTCAGTTTGCGTAAATACACCAAATGTCATCCATAATAGTCCTCCCAGTTTTGACTACCCTAGATTTTAACGCTGACGTGATCGTGGTTGAAGAGAGTTGAGGTGCCCTAGACTACAACGTAAATGGATTTAATGATCCTTAGATTTTTTCAGTTCCTCGAATAATATCAGCCGACGGAGAAATAACAATCTTCACAGCAAACTAATATCTATTATCCGCTCAACATTGCAAAAAACGGTGAGTTCACAATCACTTTTATTTAAGAAAATTTGCTTACTGGTTTAAAGTTTAAACAGAATTTATTGATCTATGTTAAGTAATCTGTTTGTAAGCATACAAAGAATAGCTATTTCAGGTTCCATATAAACGTGAATGTCATGTGATTATTTCGCTAAGCCAGGTGATTTAACGTGCATATATGTACGTCTGTGTGCATAGGCCATTCTATCAAAAGTGTGTTTTTACTAACTTATATACAATATATTGATGAGTTTGATCTCACGTTTGTAAAAGTTATGTATATCAAACATATTCTTGTAAATTTATTGAACAAATTTATTGAAGATTCATAATGTTTATTTAATTTATTACAGAAGCAATCATTTTTGGAGTCACAGTTTGAAGTATCCTTAATTTACATTATCATTGTATCATACAATAATTCGGTGAATATCAGTCAAACCTACGTGAATGCATATTTCTGATATGTATCAATAGCACAATGAAAATGAAAGGAAAATTTGTAAATTCAATGGGTCCGTTTGATATTTGTCAAAAATTGTATCAACAGCAAAGGTTAGTCATTTATTCCTATTGGGAAATAGTAAGTTGATCCAGTTTTTGAATTGCTCAATAAAAGTTAGACAAATGGTAATCAGTGATTGAAACTGTTTCACTCGTAAACATGTTTAAACCTGGTAATTTCTCTTGATTTAAACAACAAATTCCTTTGAAAGAGATTTTTTCTGTATTACACTAGTTGCAGCCAAAAAATAATCACATCGTTAATGACTACTGACTAACTTACCACGGATGTACTATGGTTTTTATCCAACAAATTATTACATGTATGTTTCGTATTGATGACAGAATATTTTCTTAAATGGTATTCAGTGTTTTACAACGACATTGAGAATGAAATTATTCCCCAATTTTGAGTATCTGATTACTCTGTGAATTTACAAGTTATTTATCTCAATTTTTAACATTTGTAATGTGTATTTACTGTCGTTAAAAATATTTAGGTGTCTCTTCTTTGCAATTAACTCTGAAACAGCTACAATTGTAACAAAGGCAGGAATTCCCTTGCATTTGCTTGTCGATATGATACTTTTAAGAGTGATAATAAGCACTACCTTTACGAAAGAGCAACTGATATGACACTGCTGGATAAAACGTTTACTCAAAATTTAACACAACTACTGATCATTTATGATTAAAAAAAAATATCTATTTTATTGAAGATATTTTCATTTCTATTAGATTTCGACTCACTTGGTCATGGGTTATTATTGAAACAATGTGAACTTGTTTACAACCAAGACTATTCATTGACCTACTAATTTGTAGCGTAGGTGTTAACTGATTACCTTGAAATGATTTGCTCATTTTTACACTCACTATAAGCTATTTGTTTTGTTTAGATCATTTAGAAGATTATATATTCAAACACAGATTGATTGCCATATTTATTTTCATCATGATTTGACATCAAACGAAAAATCATTGAAAACTAAGAAGTATTGAACACCTGTTTAATTCAAGGTTGAGTGTCTTCGGCAATAAATATTGACAATCATAATGGGTTTAAGATTATTCTTGTTATTATATTTGAAAAGAGTAATTGCCAATACCCCAATATAATTATGATATTTTAGTTTGTAGCTTTTGTTGTATAAAATATAGGAAGCAGAAGTAATAGGATAATAATTAATGAACAACAAAATTACACAGATACACTACACGGCTTGCATAGAGAATAATCAGTACGCAGCTATCCTGCGTCCGGACACTCATCAGTGAATGATGTGTAGCTTCGATTTTAGTGAGAATCATAGATTTTGTAAGTCAAAGATTCTTTCTGTGGACTATTCAGGTTATGTTTAGAATTGTTGATGTTTAATTCAAATCTATGAAAATTACCGTAAAAAGAGTTACAGTAACGGCTCATTTTACTCAATTTTGTCGAAAAAATTACTCAGATTGTTTTTCGACTTGATAAGTGATTTTATAGAGATTTTCTTATTCTATAGAGATGAAGGGAATGTTTAAAATCAAAATGAAATTAGTTTTAAAGATAGGAAGTACTCATAGATCACAATCTGGAGGTTTTGCAAGTAAGTGGTCAACTACGATTCATTGGGACTGGCTTGACAAGTGAAATAGATTTCTTGGTAATAAATTATCATTGGCAATTGGGGAAATCCATGGCATATATGAAACACATATATGTGTTCGATCGTGAAACTCCCTTACATTTTGAGAGCCTCCGTATATTCAGTTCCTTAAGTCATATTTGATTTGTTCAAAGTCTGTTTTTCACCCAAATCTTAAACAGTTCAGTATTGAAATATACAAATACTTGTTTTAGGAGAGTTTTATGCTTGAAAAGAAATCATAGGCGACATCATAGCTGAAGTAAAGGAAAAATCATAAGAAAAACAATAAGTGTTTGTTTAAGAGTAAATACTAAGTCAAAGGTATTACTAATACCACTACTAATATTCATACGATTTTGCATCAAGAACGGTTGGTTTGATCATAATTATTGAGATAACCAGGAATTCCATTTTTAAATTTCTTCCTGTCGATCACTTCAGAGACAGAGAAAAATGAATTATTGAACAAGATAATAAAATGATAACTTATTCCATTTATCGAGCGAGAATCATGGTACCTTAACATTCAATGGCACCTGAATGAAGCGACTAATTTAACTTACGCTTATCATTTTTAGCGAGTCCTGTGCTTTACTGATGAGAAGATCTCATGGACTTTCAAGTTGAGGATTTTTGAAATGATCCGTACCTTATAAATATGTGTCATTACTTAAGAAAGTCAAAAAAATCAATAAGCACTCCACAAACTAAGAAGATAATCAAGAAACAGTACATTTAATTAGCAGATTTTGCCTAAAAAACAGTTGATCCATTCGATAAAGATAGCTTATTCTACTAAAATACGAAATGATAGGATATAATGATATTTTTATATACAGTAAGGTCTGCTGGAATACAATAGTGTTTGAGTGCTATTAGATAGACTAATATTGAAAATCTTTGAGATCGATTTCGTCATTTTCCGTTCACCTGAGCACTAATATTGTAGTGAAGGAGAACACAGGTGAGGGCAACCGAATTGTATTTATCTCAAATTCCAGAGTTACTCAGTAAAATAGGAAAACCATATCGTAACCGTTAATTTGCAAATCTTCAATGCATCATTAATCCATTGTCTGACATTTCACTATTCATGCGTTTCATACAAATTCCATTGTGTTCCCACTCTTCCTTTCTTGATCTTCCCCCATCTTCTGTTGCGGGACATTACTTTTACACTTGTGTAATATACTACTTATAAGTAGCGTGCACATCACAATATGATTGATAATAATTGCGACTGATTGTATGGCCATATATCTATTGATTCTTAAATGCTTATTCTGTATTGGTTATTTATGTAGCTGTCTTTAATTTTGTCATATAAAAGGACCTCAATTTCACTGATCAGTTACTCTTTTTTCTAGATTCAATGTCAGTTTTAAGCATGATGCCGGTAGTGCAGATTTGTAGAGCAGTTATCATTAGGCCACATCATCAACACAGTCATATAATCTACTGTCGTTTGTAACAACATCGATTCGTGATTTTCATTTTTTTTCATTAAGTCACATAGAGTGACAAATGGGTTCATTCTAGTCTACCTATAATAAGCCAACATGTTTCTGCACTTGACAACAAATTCTTCCTCAGTAATAAGTAAACATTTTCTTCTCATATTTATTACATCATCTCTTTTTGACATGAACGATGTCATGGCGTAACTGAACTTTTAAAGCATGAAATCTAAATAGTTTCTATGCAATTTGCCCATAGTTTGAACAAATTTGAATATATATATATATTTTTACGTTCTGAGAATATCAGTGGGACTCTATGCTACTACATTTATCGAGTAGAGATGTTCACTTACTATGAACTGGACTATTTTGAAATCTCAAATTTTAGAGAATCTCTTATTGTTTTTTTAAGACGAAATGTGCTTAAGTAAAACTTTTTATTTCTGAACTGATTTGAATTCTGTTATTTTACTAAGTAATTTTGAAATAAAAAATTTGATTTCACCCTAATGTTTCGATCAATACATGATTTTATCTCAACATCATTGAAAGTAACATGAATTAATTAATATACATATATATATATGTATATATGCGTAATTATAAAACTGGTGTGTTTCTCTTTGAACCAATTGGTTAAAATGAAATATTTCTATTGTGTTCATATTTACTAGTATTCTCTGTTTTATCTCTTAGAAATAAAACAAATGATTGTGATTTTTTATTGGAATGTGAATCACATAGTCAATTAGTGCATAAATGTGTATTGCGTGCTGTCTCAACAAAAATTGATCAATTCTGTATGGCGGAAGAAAATGCAGAACGTTTGACAGATACTACTGATATCAATTGTCATAGACAGAGCAATACTGTTATTATTGATTCGAAAAATTGTTGTGATAATAATAATAATGATGATACTAATCATGACAATACCAGAGTGAAACACTCAAGGAATTCATTTCATCTAGGCCAGATATCTGCAAGTACATTGGATACTTTTGTTAAATATATTTATCAATCAGGTTTGTCTGACTTTTAATGCTTATTGCTAATAATTATTGATTACTGTAATTAGTACAAATAATGCCAATCAATAATATTTATTGTTTTTTATATGCCATGTACGACTGATGTTTGCAACTACAAAGAATATGAGTTAAGATGCTAATGTATTCATTGAAAAAATGTAAAGTTATCAGACTCAGTTTTTGATAGTTCAGAAGACTGGTTTTTATGATGAGACGATCATGTATGTGGTATTCTCAAAGATTTACTAGGCTTCCAAGTGATACAAATACCTTTCCGAAACTATTTATTTGGAAATAATCTGGACGAAATTGTTGGATACGTTCCTCTTTATAAGTAATTCTCATTGTAATAATGCCTCAGATGTCATAAGGTTCATGTATTAGTATGCTATTGCTAACACTAATACTAACAACATTTTCAGGTGCTTTTAAGCGTTAAATTGTTCAATAAGTTATTAACGGTAGACCTACTTGTAATAAAAACAACTAGACAGTATATATATATATATATGTTATCGGTTGATGCCTTTTCAACTCTACGATTCACGATTTCTGAACTTTGAAAAATAGTTTTAGCATCCTCTTGATCATGTATTTAGTGTTTTAGAAAATGTACTACTTTAAAAACTATTATTTTACGTAAAGATCGAAGTATATGAATCTGAGTAAAATTTATTCATTGGTAGTTGCGTTACTCCAACGCTTATATATAGGCGATGATGGGTAATTACTTTTTACTGGAGTGGTATTCTCTGTGATTTCCACTGGCATTGGTTCCAGTAGCCTTCAGACTAGATTCGAATAGCCATTTTCCGTGTATATTTATAAACAGATTGCTTAATTATTGACTAATTTGACTACAGATTGTGGAAAATTCGGAAAACCATAATCTTGTTTTATTAGCAGAGGTGAATAAAGGCTGGCAGTGAAATTCAGGACGTACGTTTCGTCCTGTTTCTGACTCGTCAGATGGATGTTCCTGCATCTCATGATTGATGTTCGTTGGCTTCATGATACACGTCCTAGATTTCATTGCTACTCACTATCCACCTCTGCTAATAATCCAGGCAACCTAAAAGCAATATCGAGGCAATCCGCACAGGATGTCCATATCGCGAAGGAGACTGATAAATTGCAGTTCCAAACATCAGTGGAAAGATTCGAACAACCAATACAAATGAACATAATCATGTATGTTTAAAAACTGGTTATTTTAAAAGGTGACAGACAACAAAAAGTAATTCCGATAGGTTTTATTTATCATGGAATAGTTTCAGCTGAAATGTTGTTGAACATCAGATATTGAGAAGACAGTTGAAGACTTTTCCGTCGAATAAAGTCACAGTCTTTTCATAGATTTTAGAAAGTTCTTTAGATCAACTGTATTGATGAAACTTCTCTTGAATTCAGCTACAGTGTTTATGCTTATATTCTTTTATGCTCGTTATCCAGAAATTACACTTGATGATACAAATGCAATTGAATTGTTCAAGGTTGGTGCTTTATTAAATGTACAATTTATTCAAGACTCCTGTATTGACTATCTAAAAACTAGTTTGAATGAAAGTAATTGTCTATTATTAATGAGACTCAATGGTACAATAAATAATTGTGAAGGGAATCAACTAGCTGACGAATGCGTCAAATATGCAGCAAAACATTTTGAGTAAGTTTAAAGGTAAATAGATGTGACAGAGACATCAACTGTTAATTTAACATGTTATAAATAAGAGGTTTATGTTATTAGCCATTTTCATTGATAGCAAAATCTTTGTGTTTAAGTGAATGGTAAAAATTCTGGAAAGTATATCGATATTTAAGATGATAAATCCTTAGTGTTAATGTCGTTAGGCTAGTTGATTTTCCTAGTTGAATAACAAAATTGTTCAAATCAGTAAAGCCAAACGTAACTGATAGTAAGGACAAGATAGTAAAATTACATATATCAATGTACCATTTGACTGACTGTTACTTTATCTCAACAATTAAGCCGCTTAATTTTCTGTCATAATAATCTGTTAACTGAATTCAACAAAATATTTTAGGGTATAAAGTATCACAAAAGCACGAAGTGCAACAGTGTTTGACAACTTTATGTTTCAACAAAATATAAGTATTAGACATACTATTATGAAGTAATTACATCTTAAGTTACTATAAACATGTTAATCTTGTATAGTAGTACTTATCAAAGTATGTATGAACTAATAAGTATTGATTAACTTATCTGAACGTTGACTGATCATACTTAGGCCCATGGATGGTGTATTCGACCCATAGGGTGGTACTAGATGTGAATTTACGTAGAATCCAATAACAAGTTTCAACGAATTTCCGGTGCTCCTAACTTTCCATAATGCTCTGTCTAAAATCCGTTTGTGATGTAAATTAAAATTTATTTGCTGGATGGTATACAAATGAGATTAAATACATATTCTCTAAATACTATGACGCTATGTATTGCAATATAAACTGTCATGAGCTATATGTCTATATATATATATATATATATATATAACTAGATTATCTAATTCAAATAATAACAAGTATAGAGTCATACAGCTTCTTTAAGCAATGGGTAGATGAAAGAGTGTAGAACTCAGTAAAATTAGATTATAATATGATTGAAGTGTGATAATTGTAATGTTTTCATTATAATACTTAAAGGAGTCGGTATGATCGAACTAGACCATACCGGACACGGCTATTGTTAAATTCAAGAGGATAAGAGAGAAGGATATTTTCAAATTCATACTTAATGGAATTAAAATGAAATAGAAATAATCATATGAGAAGATTATGTTACGTAAAAGGATAAAATAATTTTTTGACATGAACTTTCAGACATGATTGCATAGTTAGATAGAGTTTTTGTCATTTAAAGCAGTTGAATATGATGGAATCGCAGTTGAATTGGACGGATTCAATAAACAGCCGTAAAATCAACATGTAGACAGACTGGTTGAGAGGTTACAATCAAGGATAGAACTTTTAACTATTCTCTTTTCGGTCATTGTCGAAGCAAGCTAAAATCCATTGGCGAATTCTCGCTGAATCAACATATTCTCATATTTTCTTCAGGTTGATTAATTTAGTTGTATCATACTGACTAAGATCTATGGTTACATTTAGGAAATATTAAACTCTCACTTGCGTTAGTTACGTTTTGAATGCCTAAGTATATCTTCTTTAAATCAAAATATTACTGTGTGGTAAATTTGTACATAGAGTTATCTACTTTTATGGTATTCATTATCTCCCTTTTTGAAGTAAATTGTTAGGTAGTAATGAGGCCTTGAACATGGAACCCACAGAACTGTTGGCTATACTACAACATGATGAATTCAGAGTTCAAGATGAATGGAAACTCTTGGAATTTATACATTTATGGATCAAAGAGGATTATAGTAATCGTAACACATATAAAGAACAGTTATGTGAACATATACGTTTCCAACTGTTAGACACAACCGAGTTGCTTGATATAATGGAAAATCAAGAGATGACTTTATTTCACTCATATGTAAAACAGGCACTTATTGACATAGGTCGAATATCGAAGTCAGCAGCAGTGGCCAAATGGAATCGTGAAGTAAGTTTGTTAGACATAATTACCTATGTGAGTTTTTTCCTTACGCTATCCAACCAGTGTTAAACAAAAGTCAATATTTTAGTAAAGTTGCCATTTTTTCTTGCAGTTCTTCAGTGCCATCAAATATAATTGACAGTTGACATTAATCAATAATGATTCGAGTAAACGTTTTTGGTGTAAGATGGTTATTGTTATCGAGAAAGATTTATTGGCATCAACTTTGTTTGAATAACGTCAACATAACACTTCAAAATAAAAATTCTATCGAAATCTGTTTGAACGTTCTTATAAGTTAGGAAGGATGTAGTGTAATTAAAGCTTTAATAGAAAATACTGTTAATATTTTAAAAGGTACTTTACATGAGGAATAAAGATCATTTACTTAATTACCTGTGAGATAGTGGATGAGGAGCGCCGAAGAGTCTCATACTGATGTTTCCTATTTTTCAATAATTGTCACATTGAATTCAGACCTCAATGTTAAAACTTGAAATACTAGAAAAGCAATTTATTTTTATTGATACTATCGTTACGAATTGTGTTTTTTTAAATCATAAGTTTTTTATGTTTTGAATTTGAGACTGGCTCTTGAAGTTTAACAACCAACCTGATATCATTCAATCAATGAACTGTTATCCACTGGTTAGTAAACATAATAGTAATCAGTCACGTTTGATTAAAGTGAAGCAGCCAGCCATTAATCACATTGTTTGACCAGTGCATTATTGCATGAATTTACTGAAGTCGGAAATCGTAAACCATTTAATACTCATCAATTAGCTTTATCAATCTGAGACTATGTGAGATTATAAGTGTTCCTTATTGAATAGTCAGATTAGATTGAAATTGTTGTGCAGTTTTATCAGTTTTCTAAAACATCTTCTGATGAAGCTGTTTTGAGATAAAAGTACATTCAACTGATATAACATTTAAAAGAATCTACTGAAGTGAGAAACTACTTTCAAACGTATAAATGACTTTGTTTATTGTGATTTGACATGAGTTGTATGTTTTTCTCCTCAGTCAAATGATTCCATAGATGAAGAGAAGAAATTGACTGATTTACCAGCATGTAGTTCAGAAACTGATTCAATCACACAAAATGTAAGTCGTTTTGATAAATTTCATCATTCCATTACTGTTTCAATGATCATTTTTTTGGATTTCAAATGTTTAGGTGGATTTAATTTCAATACGGTTAATTTCTTTAATATTGTTAGTTGATTGACACAAATCAGCTGAGTTCTGTGTGAGCATGTGATAATTTATTAAATGATTAATAATTGAATTAGGTGAAAGTTTATCGAATCGCCTCCTGATTCATTCATTGTATTTTCAACTATGCTTCAAGGAATGCAATATAATTATTCTGACTTGAACAATGATTAGTAGTCGTTAATAGGAGTATAAAGTGTGTATGTCAAGCTAAGTCACTCGAACTTCTAATAGACGCATTTCTAAAGCAATTGATTAGAATTCAACGGAACCGAACAAACAATTCACCACTTCTAAAGTGTAAAATTCTACATCTATGAACCATGTACTACCATGACAAATGAATCAGTCTGTCATCACAAGACGTTTATTTTACATGAGTTTGATTTCGATAAGGATTTGACAAAAGATTAACGGAACTGTTATAAAATGTGCTCATTTAAAAAGTATTAGCTTTCTAAACAAAAGTGATATTGAATTTTGATCGTTATTGATTTGTACAAAAAAGGACTCCTGAATCACGGAGTTATGATGTTATTTAGAAAGACAACAAAACCCTTACATTTTTTTGACCATTAAACCCGATGGACTCATTATAATGTTCACTTGAAAGTGTTATTGAGTCACCTCAATTTGTTTAGTATTTGGCAAATAATTGTTAGTAGTATTCTGTATTAATTGTTTTTCAATATCTCTTATTAATCCAGACAACTTTGATATGTTTTGGAGGACGATTATCTGACAAACGTTTTTCATCAAACATCACATGTTATAAAATTTGTGAATTGAAATCATCTCTCAGTCAGCATGAAAATTTATTGATTGATCAATATCAGAATTGTAATGTTGGTGAAAATGATTCGAGTGATAATTACATGGGACCATGTACATTTCCTTATTTAAAACATATAAATTTACCAAATTTAAAAACCATGCCTTCTTTAAGAAAGGGTTTCGGCGCTGTGAATTTAAAAGATAAAATATATCTTATTGGTGGAAAACCTAAAAATTCAATGCGAACATCAGATATTTACGATATTTCACTAGGTTTATGGTCAAGCGGACCAAATTTAAAAACTGGACGGAGTTGGCATTCCCTTACAGAATGTGGCGGTGTGATATATGCCATAGGAGGTGTTGGAGAAGATGGTAAGGATGTCTTTTGTAATTTAAGTGATTGAGGATGTGCGTAGTTGTTAAAATGAACACAGGTGGTTCATGGAGATTATCTAATGATTTTGAGTTTCAGACAGCTATCATATAAAAGTCGGTGATGTTCGATCAGTAACAAGAATTCAGTGTAGTTGGAAATATCGAACGTTGAATACAGATTCGGTAGTCTGGGAGCCACATGGTGTTCACAAACCTTGAACGTCCTACATTCAACACCTCTTTGAGTCGCGTATGCTTGTTGGTGAGAAGTCTTATACTAAAACAAGACTACCGTTCAATGTCTCATGATTTCAGACGATTGTCTACCTAAAATCAGTCTGTGGAGTTAACTACATACGTTGTTTCATTGAGTATTCACATACTGTTCTATCACCATTTTAAACCAAGCATATGAGAACAGTCCTGACTAAATGTTCAATGCGAGCATTATTACCATTTTGATTTATTTATTTTCATTCATTTCCACAGGTCAGACCTTGTCATCCGTTGAGATGTTTGATCCAAGAGTAAGTAAGTGGGAATCATGTCCATCAATGCTCAGTCCCCGATTTGGTTTTAGTGCTTGCTCTACGAATAATGAAATTATAGTTGTTGGTGGAGTGGACGATTCAACCATTGAGTTGTATGACAGAACGTCAGGAAAATGGAAGCCTCTGATGAAAATGTCCGAAGTGTAAGTATTAAAGATCATTTTGTTAAGACAACTTTTGTTTTACTAGAAACAGGAAGTAGGACTAACTAAGTTTTTGCAAATGACTGCATTTTGGCGGGTATTGTAGTAAATCTCCTAAATGGGTAACTTACGTTGATTTTGTGAATCATTATATTGTTTACGTGTTATCGTTAATGATAAGTTAACACTGGAAGTTGCCTTAGTTTCATACCCGTACCAAAAATTAGTGATCATTGAATTCCTCAGCATCATACATAAATGAACCAGAATTTTGTATTCTGGGACTCGTTGTTTTAGTTTTCGATTCTGTTCAATTAGTCATTGAATGCGAGTTGTAGTTCTAGAGACAGATGTTTCACTCCTGAATTGATCAAACCTCCACTAGTAAAGATTTATCACCAGGAATCCTGAAGCTTCAGTACGTCTGGAGTTATGGAACCACCTATTGTCGTTTATTCTAATAATTATTATTTTGAGCGTTTTTTGAACACATAAAGTTGGACTTTTCCGACCTTTGTTTACCATGGTTCTAGTGAGTGAATGTCATGCTAAATAAGAAATTCTGACCTTATCTTCAAAACTGTATTTACACAAATAACATGTTGCTTGTATGTGACTGACGAGAAAGTACGAAATGGTACTATCTCACAAAATATGTCTTCTTATTTCTCTATTCAAATTTATCCAAGGGAATCACTGTTTTGAATTTTATTATTGTGTTGTTTGTATGAGCTGGTATGACTGAGCATTGCTTAACGCCTACACGCATATGCATCCTGTTCGCTTTATTATTGATCTATTAAATAACACGATGACTCAGACACTTTTCTATGTATATGGTAGATTACACGAAATGATTCGGATAAGTTGTCTAGTAGTACGCTCAATATAGCCATATTCTCAGATGTATTTGAACTCGTGTATGTACATTGAGGAAGCTAATTCAAGTAAATTACCCTGTGTTTGCATAGCTATCAAATATTGACCAAGAAGTGTCAACACAAGATTGGGAATCTGTGGTATTTTAAAGTTTTTTGTTAGTCAAGATGATGATTGATAGTTTACACGATAGTTGCTTATCGATAACGTGGATGCTGAAAAAGTCAATTAGTTGGGTGGCGAAATCGTCACTATCAAATATGAAGTTCAATATACTACATGATGTATGTCGTACTATGTGGTGTGTGCTGCTTACAAGATGGCTTACAAGTATTATGTAGTGAAGTCGCCTTGAAGTTGCTCCCCGAGAGAAAAGCGTCTGGTAATCGAAGTGCATGGAGTGATCAGGTTATTTTGACAACCAGAAGAAGGGTGAAATTGAATTACAAATAAATGACTGAAGGCTATTTTGCATATAATTCGTAAACAAACTGTATTTTCTCCTAGTTTATATATATTCCATCTGATCACGGTTTATTCGTATATTACAACATAATCTTAATCTACTAAAGAACTTATTAGACGTTGAATTTAGTCATCATAGAATAGGTAGGTTTATAAAATCACACATGTTAAAAGACTGAATAAAGATGGTTTGTATTTCTGTTAGCATTTTTTCTACTCGGTACTCATAACCTGAATAAAATATGAACAAGTTATTGTAAATTTTATATACAATCAACCTTATTACTTTCGGACTTTTGTAAGTAGCCAAAATTTAATCTCAAGCTGTTTACGAATGTCATTCAGATAAAATATAGTAATTTAAATTACAAGTCCATTTATTAAAAGGTATTCTCTAGATAGAAAATCTTTCATGGCATGAAGTAAATTTTTATTAGCATTGCAAAATTCAACTCTAAATACACTTTATATGTGAGGACGTACTGTGCCTCATGAAATACCTACAGATCATGGATCATCACTTTATTCATGAGTTCAAACTCACAAAATTCGATAAAATTTTTCGATTTCGCTATTTTAGATCCATTCCAAACATAATCATTTATGCAAGATCTCTCTCTTACTCTGAAAATATTTAGTTTAGACACGAATACTGTTTAAAAATGAAACTGATTTTTATGAAAATAGGCATTGTGAGAGAATTGTCTTGATACTACCATTTATGTTAAAAAGGTTTTAAGCAAAGTTAGTGATAGTTTTGTGACTTTCTGACTGAAGGATATTGGGTTCAACTCCCGAGATGAATATCGACTCTGGAGTACAGGAAAAGTCTGCGGACAAGTGTCAGTCAGGGGAAGACGTACCTCCTGGATTCCAGTGCTAGCCATTATTCACCTCTGCTAATAATTATTGATAGCACACATTTTCCTTTTGCTTTATTCACTACTGATTACTGATCTATAAGCAATCCGATAAGAACGAGTTGTTTTTGCTGATGTGACAGATATAATATCAAACTTCATATGAACATTACTTCAGGTTTGAATGAATATAAAACTGTATATGGGACCGTAATCATCTTATTGGATAAACATATTTTTAGTCATTTATTCACGGGTTATTTTATAATTAATATCTTAATTATGAAGCATTACGGATAACGCTTATCATTTACTCAATGAGTGGTGTTCTAGTCAAACAGCAGTGGCTCATAAAGTTATTTTTTGGAAAAGATATTTGGGGTAAAAACTTATTATTATGAGTTTGTACATCGAATAATATATATAATCATAATCTTAGTTGTTTCGCGATTCCATGTAGGGGTATTTGCAAAGATTCAAGAAATTTTCACTAGACATAATATTTTTGATTTTCATTTCTGATCATTATATCTAAAATTAGAATATTTGAATATCATTTATTCAAGTTCATTATTTGTATGAAAGATTTGATAAGATCGATGAATTTTGTGGTGATCACCGAAAAGCAGAAAGTACTAAAACACTGTTTTGTTTATCCGTGACCCACTAGGGATCATATGAAGTATGTCATGTGCGTTTGTTGACTTTCGAAAATCCTGATTATAAAACTATGTGACTAGGTAATAGCTCCTTTTCACTCAACTCATGTTTACCAATTGAATATTATCGTATCAGCTGTGTACACTAGTTCTGAACTGGTAAAGTTAGCTTTGTTTACAAATTATTGCACAAAATGTCACATTACTGTTCAGTTCTCAGTTGAAACCTTGAGCATAGTTTCTTCTCGTTTAGGAATACGGTTTTTTTTCTGCTGTATATTTCTTACTTCAATTATTCCTGGCATATTTCATTTTGAATAATAATGTTATTTATTTAACCAAAAATAAGTTTTATACATTCTAATTTAAATGCACGCAGTTTGTGGTGCGAGCTACTTATAAGTATTATATGACGTGAGTGTTAACGTAATGTATGGTAGCAGAAGATGGGGGAAGATCAAGAAAGGAATAGTTAGAACACAATGGAATTTGTATGAAACTCATGAATATTGACAATGGATTGATGTTTTGCAACAGGAACAGTCCAGTTCAATATGATGAACTGATATTTTGCAAATTAACGATTTACGATATGGTTTTCCGATTTTACTGAGTAGCTCTGTAATTTTCGTTAAATAAAATCTGGTTGCCCTACTTGCGTTCTCGTTCACTACAATTTAACATCGTCAACACTAACGGTTGTGTTTTCTTGTTTCCTTGCTTTTTAGACGTGAAGCTTCAAGTGTTTTTATGCATAATGATTGTTTATATATTTGTGGTGGAGCAAATCAAACTGGTTGTATGAATACCACAGACATTTTGTCATTGAAAGCTATGAGTTGGAGTAAAGGCAAACCAATGATTTTACATCGTGCATTTACTGGTAACATATTTTTTACTGTTAATTGACCAATTTAATTTAATATTTCACTTTTAAAAAAAAGTACAGTTTGTACTTTAAGAATTGAATAAATTTTACACTAAAACTAGATAGTCAAGGTTTGTTGATGCTGAAAGCACTAGGTTTTCTCATCCTTGTACTGAAATCAACAATCAGTTATTGCAGGTGTCTAGGTGTATTGATTGTTTAAAAAAGAGTTCTTAGTTTTGCATTATGTCTTTTTCAGTTTGACAGTCATCAGCTGAAGTTGGTTAAGTCAAATGAAATCAACTTCATTTTAATTGACTATGATTACTCATGATCATGATCAATTCATGGAACAAAACGTTTCCTATCTAATGAGACAGTGCGTTAACAATCATGATGAACAGTAATATGTACTGAATAGATTCGGTAGTTGTATCGTTATTTATTATGGATGTGTTTCAATTTGAAGACTGAAAACAGATGTAAGCTGAAAAAATTACTGGCAACCAGGTGGAATTAAGCAAACATTTCTACCGAAGTTGATTTTGAACACTGTATATCTGAAAACAAGGACCACTAATAACAAGCAGTTGCAAAAGGACTGACTTTGAAGAGAGAAGTTTTTAAAAAAAAACGCTTCGAATCATATTTGTAACTGGCTACTTTTATAAATTAATCTCAAATGACAGATTACAACATTTATGTTTATACCGAATATTAACAATCTGTCTAGTAGGTTAACTAGTTTCAGTGCTATTCCATGTTAAAATTAGATTGTTAAACTATGATTTATACTTAATGTTTCGTTTTCTTTGTTAAATAAACAGCTACAAGTGTTTGGCATAATTATGTCTTCCTCATCGGTGGTCGTAACAATACGCAACCGTCAAATTTAATTCAAACTTATAATTTAAAAACAAATGAATGGGCTGTTTTACCACAGACTCTACCATATCATGTTTCAAGTTGTTGCGCTATAACTACCAATCTCTTATAAATTCATGTAAACAATCATTTTTGTAACTTTTCAAAGATCATGTAATGAACTTGAAGCTTAGTGTTGATGTGCAGTTTTGTACAAAAAAAAATGATAAAATCAAATTCTGTTTTCATCTACTATATTCAGAATATCTAAACATAATGAAACTCAATCATTACTAGGATTACATGTATTATCGTACTTTTACGAATGTTTTAATATCATGTAGGAACGTGGACCAATGTATCGACGCTTCGAATCTGTTGATGATTGGCTGTTTACTTTTACTCATATGTTTCTACTCTGGTTTGGGATCCATTTCTTTTTAAAACAACGTCATTCTTATTTCACTTCAACTTTTGCTAATTTGATGATCATATACACCGTTCAACGAAGTTATTATGTGCCAATATTGAATAGTGAACACAAGTAAATTATTGTTGGCCCATTCTGTAAACCGAAAATACAACTATTCATAAGGCTGAAAAAGTATCTGGATCTTAAGGTACATTGGACGTCTTGGTTTAATGCTCTGAATGGCGTTACAGGGGATCATTGTAAAGTTAACAATGATTGCTATACCGCTTTCATTATTCTGTTAGTTCTCAAAACCAGTCCAACAGCCTTGAGCATAATGCAACTAATATGCTAACTATTTGATGTTATGTTTATTTGATCTTCTGTTGTTGTTCGCGTACTACACAGGATATCAACCTATACAAAACTGAAAGTATGCCTTGATAACGAGTGGTACATGGCCTAAAAGCTAAATCCAGGGTCTTCTGACAATTGTATCTAAGCACTTATTGTCTATTGATTATTGTTAAAAACGCATCAATTATTTAAAAGCTCTTATTTCTCATTTCAATAAGTATGAAGATAACTATTATTTAGTCAATCTGGCTCAAAGGAGTAGTGTTTGCATACAAATAATAGCCTTATATTTTTTGAAACACTTTTTGTTCCATAAAACAGTATCATTAATATAAGCAAAGTAAGCTAGTTATTTTATCCACTTCCGTAGATATAAATCATGAATAGTAATAAACTATTTAAGATTGGATTTATAATCAACTATACAGAGAAAACACACAACAGAAGTAGGCGTAATTATGTACAGACAGTTGTAATAATAAAAATAATAATAATAACAATAATAATAATGATAAAAATAATGATAGCACAAATAACAATGATAAATTCTTCTGTCTAATAAGCGTTTAGCAATACTGGATTTGTGTTGTATAATAAAGCCCGTTTAGTGTGGAGATATTTATTGCTGAATTAATATAAAATACAATAAATAATCCAGGATGAAAAATACATCAATTTACAAAAATGGTTTCATTTTTAAAAAAGTGATGTTATCTTCTTGAAAGTATGTTATCGGATAAATCATTTAGCAATATGAAAGTGGTGTGCGGTATTTCACAATGAATTCCTGATGATGCTAAACTGTTTATATGGTTTGGAAAATCTATAATCTTATCTTTGTGCATCAGTGTTAGATAGAATTTAGTGTGTAAACGTCAAGGATAGTCGAATCCGGTATAGATTCCCATGTAATGGATTCTAAGATATGTATTACTAAGTTAACTCATGAAAAGCTGAGTAGTAAGGATTGCTGCAAAACGTCGCAAATTGATCAAAACTGAAAGAAAATATAAACCGTTCAGTGATAACTTGATGGTCACAATGTTACACATTTACCATGAAGCCTGAATGTTCTGGGTTCTTTCTCAAAAGGAGCAGTAATAGTGTACAGCAGAATCGTACACTGAAAGAAAACAACTAATTTTCAATGGTACATAACTTAGAAATCGCTGTTTGTTTAGTAAATGCAAAACCTTAATTGTTAAACTGACTTCGCTGTACAACTAAATGTCATTTCAAGAACAATTAAAGATCAAAAACTAGTGTTGTTTTATGTTCTTTTCACTTACAATGTTTAACTGGCCAAAATGGGATCGAAAGATTGTTTTACAGCCAACTCATGGATATTTAAAGTATGAAGTTGACATTTTACAGTTCAATTCATTGAACACTTTTTAATGTCATCAGTGGTAATATTAGTTATTTAGACAAAAGAACAAACTGGAAATCCATTAAATTTATAAAGTGAAGTAAACTAGTTATCGTACAACAATATTATTTTGAGTTTTATCAAATTAACTGTTGTCAGTAGGTGAAAATTATTTATTGCGCGAAAAATAATTTTAAGAAATGATAACTTCTGAAACATTGATTCTGTGAAATACTGGCAACATCTTTGACTGCCTACAATTCTAATAATATGAATGAATTAAATTACTACGATCTGTATTTATAATAGGTCCTGGGGTTAGCCGCTCGCACCTAAGACTGAAGGTCCTGGGTATGAATCCTGCGAGGTGTAGGAGTCGTGGATGTGCACTGCTGATAATTCCCGTACCAGGACGAAACGGCCGTCCAGCGCTTCCAGGTTCCTAGTGCTGGTCTAATAATGATCGATTAATGATTACAGTGTGCAAGAAAAAACTAATCTCCATAACTCTAATTGAAAAAATTGTATTTATTATATATGAATAATTGCTTAAATATGCATTCTATTATTGAGGTTAACTGTGCGAGTTGCATTCGAGCACCTTTCACTTTTAATGCTAATGAGTTATCCACTAAACAGCTGAATTCAGATAGCCATTAACTCGTTCAAAGAATATAATGTTTATACTATTAAGATATGTATAATTTGAAGAAGCTTTGATGCAGGTGGGACTAGGGATATCTGTAGACATGAAAAATTATTATTTCGTTGAGGTAAACTTATTTGTTGAGAATGATTTGGTAGACATTAAGGAAAGTCAACTATTTGTTGAGGTTGAGTATATGGTTCATAACCAAATAGTTATTCTTCCATGTTGGAAAAGTAATGAGGAGGGTTGTATGTCTTAGATTCAGCTTACAAAAATATGTGGTTCAACTGTGGGACATGTTGGTTTCCTTCAATCTGTATAATATTAGGTCTGCTTAGATTACTGTTGTAGTGAACATTTTGTGTATCAGTTGTTTAAAGTACATGTATATGGTAACATTGCACTTATGTTAGGACTAGACTTTTGAGTATGAGCTTCTACTGTACTGTTGAGAGATGTCAAATCGGTGGGTATGTAGTATTCATTGGTTATCTGAAGTTTCAACAGGGTTTTGTGAAGTTTATGACAAGTAAGTATTCTTCATTGATAAATTGGAACATTGATCAACAGCTGCACGAGTGGATCTTAATGGTTGGCCAACAGGATTAGCTGTAATTTGTACAGCATTATTCCGTTTGAGGAAAGCTTTTACATAAGTCTTTGAGTGGTGGTCCTATCTGGGACCATACGAGCATTTCTGAAATTTGTGATGGCATCTATCAACTGTTCGGATTCCTTCAGTTATTTATCTGCTCATAGGCTTCTGGTGTGTATGAAAGACAAGATCTGGAAATATGTAGCAAGTTTGATGAAATTCTACGATTAACTTTGGGAACTGGATTTATATCGAGCTCTTCAATGGCGTCTTTTGTCCTTAAATCAACCAAGGGGGATGATGTTCGGAAATGCAATGATGCATTTGCATGATTTTACATTACTAATTATATACCGGTGGCTAGTACACCATGCCTCACAACACCATATAGACTTGCAAATACATATGAGATTATTTACTGAACTGTCTTTATTTTACGTCATAGTATAAAATAGATTTCTTTCATTTTCATATAATTTCCTTTGCGTCAGGTTTTTAAAATGTGCCATACTTTGAAATGTTGATACTCTAGTTGTAACATACACTTTATTGTCGGCATTACATCATCCACATTCTGTTACTTTTTGTCATATCAACTAACAAAAATCATTTATGCAAACAATTACTAATGTTTAGTTAATTTTTCAAAGAAAGATACGTTTATTAAAGTAAATCATTAGAATGTTTAGTACTCAGCTTAGTTTGTTATTTAGAGAGATTTTGTTCTAATTGTTGTTTTCTTAAAAAAAATGAAAGGAACTAATTTAAATTTTTTTGCATTGTGCAAGAAAGTGTTTGTTTAGTTATCGTAAGAAAAATATCTTCGCGTTGAACAAATAGTTATAACAAAAACAATATTAATAATAATAATAATTAGATTAGAACAAGTATCAATATTAACAAATATTAATCAAACAATCAAGTATTTTTTTGGGGGGAGAGTTTTGGAGGTTCGTGTTTGTACACATCTGAAATCGTCAAGCAAAGATTGTTAGACTACCATTAGAAACCTGGAAGCACTGGACGGCCGTTTCGTCCTGGTATGGGACTCACCAGCAATGCGCATCCACGATTTCTGCTCCCCGCATGATTCGACCACGAGACCGTCAGTATTGTGCACGAACGCCTATTCCATGTTAAAATTAGATTGTTAAACTATGATTTATACTTAGTGTTTCTTTTTCTTTGTTAAATAAACAGCTACAAGTGTTTGGCATAATTATGTCTTCCTCATCGGTGGTTGTGGCAAAAAAAGTGTTTCAAATTTAATTCAAACTTATAATTTAAAAACAAATGAATGGGCTGTTTTACCACAGACTCTACCATATCATGTTTCAAGTTGTTGCGCTATAACTACCAATCTCTTATAAATTCATGTAAACAATCATTTTTGTAACTTTTCAAAGATCATGTAATGAACTTGAAGCTTAGTGTTGATGTGCAGTTTTGTACAAAAAAAAAATGATAAAATCAAATTCTGTTTTCATCTACTATATTCAGAATATCTAATCATAATGAAACTCAATCATTACTAGGATTACATGTATTATCGTACTTTTACGAATGTTTTAATATCATGTAGTAACGTGGACCAATGTATCGACACATCCATTCGCGCACAATACCGAAGGTCCCGGGTCCGAATCCTGCGAGGAGGAGTAGTCTTGGATGCGCATTGCTGATGAGTCCCATACCAGGACGAAACGGCCGTCCAGTGCTTCCAGGTTTCTAATAGTGGTCTAACAATGATTGATTGACGATTTCAAATCAAGTATTTATTTCCATTTTTGATTGCATTTCTTTTCAGCTAAGTGCAAATCATAATATAACAGT